ATTTCGAGGGTGCCGGCCAAGAGTTACACTGCTGGCACCTCGTGAGGTGTTACATGCCTTGTCGAGCCGATGCTGCACTCGTATTCCATGTCCGATTCTCGACGCACGGGTAATATAATTCACTTCCCTCTCCCACCTGCAGCGGATTTGGTCGCCTCCAGAGAATTATCTGCTCATCCCAGGGCCGGCGCTCGTTCTCCATTGACAACCAACGTTACTCAGGAAAGCCCAAGTCTCAGATCAATGCTTTGATAGCGGAGGAGGAAGAAAACAAAAGGTCACAGGCGTTGGCGTGTGAGCTACTACGCGCCGAGCACCCGAGATGAGGGGCGGTACCGTGTGGTTTTCAAGACCATCTACAGTAACATCACCCCAAAGGTGTGGACATATATCTAAAGGGGGTACTTGATCCATGAAAATGGGGACCAAGGATAGATTGTTGACCCGTTCTCACGGATCTTGAATCAACGTTCTCACTCTTAAAGGTGGATTTAGGGTCCACAGCACAAAGGAAAGCGTGGGGTGTGGAAAATCGCTATTCCGCCCTGGATGGCATCTCTCCGCCACGGCCTTGACAGAGGCTAGAATCATCTCGCGTGCTGCATTCAGGCATTCAGGGAGAGAGAAGGGCGAAAAAAAAAAAAAGTTGGAAGGTGGGCGTGACCGGAAAGATCGGACTTCCCTCTGCCCATCCGTCGTCTCAGCATGAGGCGTCATTGATATGCCCGCCTTTGCTAGATTTGAGCCATTCCTCTTCCCGCCATTCAAGGCCCTTCAGAGAGGGAGGGCTTCCTGTGCTCCTGCGCCTAAAATGCAATAAATTCACCGCCCAAGGAAAAGATCAGCTTCAAGGGCAGCTGCGTGACAGAGCCTCCCGGCGCTATTCGTCAACTGAAGCAAATGTCACGACTTGCGTGCGGATATCAATTGCTCCTCGAGGAAAGGTGGGCCAAGGCCGACAAGAAACCCACGTTTCGAGACAAGCGTTCTAGGCAAAGGATGGCGGACTCAGCCCCGAGAAGGTTGCCCTGCGCGGCCTTTTTCACCCATGCTAGCCCACAGACCAAACCACTGATGGTATTTCCAATCGGGGTCCTGCTGGAGGCGGACGAGTGACAGCTCGGCGCAGGGGTGAGAATTGTTACAGCACAGGACGTCTCGCAGATTGGACCATACATGTAGGCCTTAAAAATCCCCCGTCAGAGTCGACAAAGACATTGTTCGGACTTGTTCGAGATTATCTAAGACAGGTTCGCCTCCCACCCGCGAGCGATCATGACATGTGCTCCATCTCGTGTCTCGCCGTCCTTGCCGTCCTTTAGAACAACAAGGCCACTCCAGCCAAATTGAGTGGGTGTGATGAAGGGTTCGAGAGGAACCGAACCACTCCAATGTTTGTGAACGGCGTGGCGGTGCACAAGGTGCAGCCCCGCAGTTCCTCCCCGATACAGGCTCAAGAGGCTGAGCAGCTGAAAAATGAAAGCAGCTAACCCAGAGAGCTGGCGTTTTTGTCTGATTCCGCCCAAGGCAACCAGCCTCTTTGGGCTGGATTAGACTTTGATCGCGAAGGCCGCCAGATTGTCACATCGTCTCAAACCCATCCAAGATATTACCACAAGGGATTTAGAGGCGATGACGATGGGTCGAATCGAGTGGCCAGGCTTTACTTATTGCTGACCGCCGCTGCCAGGTGGGGCGAGCCTTTGCCTGATGCGACCGATGCAAGAGCGCTCCAACTGCCAGCCCGATCTGCTCCTGCCGTCCATGCTGGCTGCACGTTTTGTTGGTGAGGTTGAGCGTCGATGTCCAAGTTGAGCAAGAGTCGCGGCGCAGATCTCCTTCTCTCCATTCCGCTCGCTCCCCATTCTCGACAGAGACTAAGAAAGTAGAAATGGACAGGAGGGGATCATCGCTCGGGATGATATCCAGCTGTGGCCTTTCTTGGCCTGGTGATCCAACAATATTTTCACCCAGCCCCGGCGCCTTGGTCGGACTCGCGACCGCCGTTCTGCCAGGGAAAAACAGCCAATGTGATCATCTTTTTTTCTAGGGGGGACGCGGACAATGAAGAGCGGGAGGTTCAACCCGCCAGCATTGCGTCAGCGCCAAAGCGAATCCTGCTGCATTCCGATCACCCTCCGAGATGGGAACCCTCCTCTCGCCTTTGGGCAACATCCCCCGAAATAGAGTACATAGGCAATCCGGTATTTCGATATTACGCAGGGTAGCGGGGAGAGAGGGAAAAGAATGGGAATCCCGCTCTGCATCAGGCGTTATTAATCTGTGTTCTATAGGCTTCTAGTGTTAGGAGAGGCACCAATCCGCTCCCGCGACATATGATGACCAAGGGTTGGCTCGCCTTACAGCCAGCCTCGGCCCAGCTCTTGAAAGCAGCAATGTATTGAACAGCTTCAGCGCTGATTGTTTTCCCTCCCTGGGAGCGCCCATTCAACCGCAAACGTCATGATGCCCCCCTCCACTTCTCGACGTCGGGCGCATAGCAATTCAGCATTGGCTTTTTGCATCACATTCCCCGTGACTTCAGGTTGTCCCGGCTCTTGAACGGACGCTTTTTCAGAAGAATTTTTTTCCTTCTCCCTCTTGATGGCGTCCTCGCTCTTCGACGAAGACAGGTTCGAAGTCTTGTCCTCATCCCCACGTCCTTTCCTGACAGAAACAACATTCCTTTCTTTACCCTGACTGATAGTTCTCATATATCTCGTACATCCTCAAGATTATCCTCCGCAAGCCCCGAGAGGAGTACGACTCGTAATGGCGTTTGTATCCACTTTTTACGGGGCTCCATCTTTCAGGACAAGTCAAGTTACGGAGAGGGAGGGACAACAGAGGATTGGCGGCGCCAGGTGCTAGTTAGAGCCACACCATATACAAGTACTCTGGGTAACATCTACACCCGTTTCATAGGTCCTGGGCTCTGACCTCATCAGCACTCTGACAGAGAAGGGTGGGTGTCAGCTCCAGGGATTGACTGAGAAGACAGACAGGGCAAATGTCATCATCAAAGTTTACCTCTGCCTCGCCGTGTCAGGAGTCAACCCTAACCCACCAAGAAGCAAGGTTATGAGTGTAATATTAGACGTTGCTGGAGGACGGTGGAAAAAAGAAGCTCGGCTACATATTTGGTACCATTGCCTACATGTACAATGGAGCTCTTGATCGGCGGTTGTCGGTCGCCGTAGAACACCGACGAGTCAACAGATTCGATAATTCTTCTTCCTCGCTCCCCGGAGCCCTTTTCGCTGCGAGCGACATCCAAAGACCGGGAGAAACTTGGGGTTGGGCGTGATGCATTTCAGTTCAACGCTTCTTGAGTGCACGTACTTCATAGCTCTTCAATATGTTTGGTGGTTCTAAGTTCCTGCCACGCTTTCACCATGCGTGCCACTCGACGGGGTAGCTCGCCGCTTCCGCGCTTTCGCTGAAAAGAGAACATTGAAGGGATTTGATGAATGGGTCCGCCAGCACCAAGGAGTGTCTTTCCATGAGATAGTCGATGCGGACGGCCATTAAATTACGCCACCCGATGGAGCCAGGCTGGTCGTGCAGAGGCCGGCACACACATACAGCTAGCCCTGAAAACTCTCTCTTTCAATTGTTGACGAAACTAGTAGTTTGCCAACATTGGAATCGCCGCGCTCGGAAAAGGTTGGCGAAAGAATGGGCTAAAACCGGCGCTGTGTTGCCCAGGTACTGGCTACTTTGGACCGAAGTAGCCCTCCATCTTGCCCTTCGGTTTCCCACCCCCGATTATCCCTAAAATTCCGGATTGCACAGCAGAATGTTGTATCATTTCCACACCTGTACGAGACCTAATAATTGCTTGCCAGAGATGATGCAGACTGGACAGAGTGGGGCCGGTTCGCTTTTGGGGGCATCACCTTGTCACCCTGTCCTAGAGCCTGGGGCCTGGGACAGGGTCTGAAAATGGGGACGAAAATGGAGACTGCTGGCGACTAGGTCCTTCTTGCCCTTGGACCCCTCGAAATGCGCTGCTGCCAACCCCATCGCCCCATAATATCTCCTATTCACTGACCCTCCTTCCACTTCAGAGTCCGAAGCCCCTTCCTCTCCTGCCCTCGCTCCTTGCTACACCCGTACCAAAAAAAAAAACCTCCATCGTTCCTGCCGAAAAATCTACCCTGACCCTTGTCGTCCCCCGAAGGCAAGTGTTTTGGACTGAGCAAGGTCGAGAAGGTTGCCTACTCCGAAAGTATTCACAACCCTCCCATTCAGCCCTGCTTCGCCTGGTCTTCTTTTTCCCCTTCTCACCTCCACCGTCAATATCCCTCACCCCCGTTGTTGACGTTGTCAAGTATCTTATTTCGTCTCCCACACTCGTTTACCCACCCGTCCCCCTCATATCCAAGGCAGAGGAGAGGGAATCAATACGTACATATACTGCACCACGGCCTACTATAGGGAGCCAGTCTTTTTATCGTCGCAGGAGACCCGTGTTTGCTCAGCTTTGCGCAGGACCAACCTTGGGAACTCCCCAAGCCCTTCCTGGCGTTACCCCGACCGAGCGACGATCACCCCTTCAGATTGCGTGAAACTTCCTGCAACACTACCTTGAGCCAAATCAAACTATCGCAACCTCGTTGTCTCTTGCACGCTCAATGCTTTGATGCACGACTGGCCCTCGAGAACCTCGTTGTGAAGGCGGCCTAGTCTACAGTCTGATAACCGCTTGCCTTCGATTTTTGCTGTCGCAGCCATCTCCCCGCCCATATCCCACACCTGAAGAGGAACGGCCAGCTCGCAATCCTTTTGACCATTCGCCGCTTCTTCCTCGTTGGGCGTTGGTGCTAGCCATGGCCGCCGTCTCTCCTCCGCGATCCGTCCCCCTTCGCCGGCATCCATGCGACGGAAACCTCTCTCATCTTCCCTTACGACTTCTTCCGAGAGAACATCAAGCCTCGAGAATGTTGCCCATAAACCCCTGCCTATAGTGCCCCTAGCCACCGGCGCACTCTTTCGTGATGCTCCCGCCTCTCCCGTGAGGGTGAGCCATCAGACTGGCGTTCTACCCTCTCCTTCTAACGCATACATCGAGCTCGCCCCCGCTACCGGATACTCCAACGCTACAGTTCCACCATGCCGACGACCGCGATCTGCCGCAGACACCCAACGCTCCTTCGCCTCCTCCGCATAGCCCCCAGTACAGAGAGTCTCCAGTGGTCGAGACGATCCCGTCGGTCATCAACAAGCCTCTACCACCCGTCCTTAACCCCGAGCCTCCCGTGCTCCCAGGACGCGAAGTTGCCCACAACCGGGTAGTGCAACTCTCTGGACAGAACCAGAACTCTCCCCTCACATCCCCTGAGCCCGACGACGGAAGTAGTATTGTCAGCCCCTCAGTTGATGCCCGGTTTCTCGACCCCCACCGGCAGAGTCGCGAGTCCGACGCCACGACCAGTACCAACCACGTCCAGACTTCCACCGAGTCATCTGGAGCCACCAGTGCAAGCTCTGTCAATGAGCTAGTCGAGTCCCCAGAGGATTCTGGAAGCGGGTCTCCCAGCTCCGTGCTTGAAGGTAGCATACCGCGTAACCAATCAGTCCCGGCATTCCAGTATCACCACAACTCGCAGTACCCGCCTCGTGTCTCAAGCGTCCCTAACGAGGGCGGAGACGCCCGAGCCGTCTCCAACCCTGACCTTCTCGAGACGGCTACCGCCATCAATCGTCACCTGACACCCAGCCAGCAGTTCCTCCGCAGAAGCTCACTCCCCGGCCCAACTCGGCCTACTCGGTGTACTCGGACTATGGCCCTAGGGGACGGTCGCCCAACTTCTTCCCCGGCAGCTCCCATATTCGCGCGCCTTCGGTTCAGTCCAGGAGATCGCCCGATATCCGCCCGTCCTCCTACGCGGAGCTCTTGAACGTTCCTTATCCCCAACCTCCTCCTGCCCCGATTAGCTTTGACAACTCGCATCTCAAGAGCGCAGTCGGAAACAATGCTGCTCTTCTCAGTAGCCAAAAGACGCTGGATATGTACCGACAGAATGTCAAGAAGACGAACGACTATTCCATCCAGTACTCTTTCGCAGTCTTCCTTATTTCTACTGCGCAGGAAATGGGCTTAAATCCAGAGGAACCAGAACCCAGGAAACCCAGTCCTCAGTCAAACAAGGGTGGCGATAGCCCTAGTCCTTACTCTCAGAACGGTATGTCTCCCTACGAATTGGTCAAAGAGGCCCGTACCATTTTGCAGCGTCTAGCGAACAACGGATATCCGTTTGCGCAGTACTACCTCGCCGACGGCTATGCCTCGGGTCTCTTCAGCAAGGGCAAGGAAGACTACAACACCGCCTTCCCACTATTCATTCTCGCTGCCAAGCATGGGCATGCTGAGTCAGCTTACCGCGCTGCTCTGTGCTACGAGTTTGGCTGGGGTTGCAGAAAGGAACCGACAAGGGCCGTCCAGTTCCTCAGGGTTGCTGCCACCAAGAGCCATCCCGGGGCCATGACTCGTCTTGGCAGAGCCTGTCTGTCTGGAGACCTCGGCGAGAGGCGTTATCGCGAGGGTTTGAAATGGTTAAAGCTTGCGACCGAGGCCGCCGATGCCATCAATAACTCGGCACCCTACCACCTCGGATGTCTCTACGAGACGGGTTACGGAGACGACGTCTTCCAGGACGAGAGCTACGCTGCCGAACTTTTCACACAAGCCGCCGAGTTGGGCCACTCAGAAGCTAACTATCGTATGGGTGATGCCTACGAGCACGGCAAGCTCAATTGCCCGCGAGACCCGGCTCTCAGTGTCCATTTCTACACGGGCGCTGCGGAAAAGGGCCACCCGGCGGCTATGATGGGTCTTTGCGCGTGGTACATGGTCGGTGCGGAGCCCATCCTTGAGCAGGATCAAGAAGAGGCATACGAGTGGGCTCGTCGTTCTGCAGAACTTGGTAAGTCGGGCTACCATGCATGCCCTTGAAACACTAGATGGAACTTGACCGCTAACTGGAAGGCTGGTGTAGGCTATGTTAAAGCGCAGTACGCTGTAGGCTACTTCACGGAGATGGGCATAGGATGTCGTCGCGATATCTTGGAGGCGAACGTGTGGTACGTCAAGGCAGCCGACGCCGGTGACGAGCGAGCCAAGCAGAGAATCGCGACAATCAACGCGGCCATTAGGGGCGGCCAGGTTCCAGGAGCAACGGCAGGCCGCGGCGGAAAGATTAAGAAGCAAGCCGGCGACGAGAAGGAATGCATCGTGATGTGATGGCGGACCATACTCGACACAATCCTATTCAAACACTCCTTGACAGGAAAAACGGGGACGACGGGTTGCATCATTAATACGGGACTGATGCTCATGATACACGCCAGTTTGAGTTTTAGAACGACAAGAGGGAAAAAGAAGAAGAAAAACTAGACCATTTCCCGGTTCTTGGTGAGGGACGGATCAGAACCGGGGTTCTGCGGCCACCCAGTTTCTCTGGACGCTTTGAGGATACAGAGCACTCAGGCGTTTGTTGGTGCGATGTTGCTCATTCCCAGCACTCTTCTCTCCCACTCGCAATTTTCTCCCAACCATTTTTACATTCAGTTATACAACAAACTTAAAACTTCCTCAGTTCACGCCCACGACTTTTTTCTTTTTCTTTTGGATTTCCATTATCAGACTCTCGCAGGAACATTGCACAGCGCTACGCCTCATCGGACGACATGTTGGGACGGAAAGGATTGGTGGGATATCAGCGCAAAATAGGCTTGCTAGCGAGACACACTTTCTCTCTCCCTTTTGTCCATTCAGGTCGCAGGACCGGATCACCCAGGAACGGCAGGTTTGCCTTTATATCTTGGTGCTGTCTCTTCACATTCCCTCCCCTCCTTAACACTACTTCTTTCTTTTTCCCCATCCATCAACGACTTCTACAAATCTCTCGAAGATTGAAACGCATTTTTGGCATCATCCTCCTACTTCACTCTCATTCCCTAGTTTCACTCATTCCTCCAGGACTTTTGTTTCTTCTTCCTCTTTCTTTTCCGCTGGCGTTATTTTCATGAGGGGGCGAAAGAAGGAAATCGTAATTTGCCTTGTTCGTTTGCTTTCAGTGTCTTGCGCTTGCAGCAGCCTCCTGTTTCCTTTGCTTCTCGCATGTGTTTGCGACCATCGTTTGGTAGCGCGTGCCACCATTCGAACTCGCGCCAGTGAGTTGGAGACGTGGTCAGGATCGATCTAGAAGGGAACGGTTCTTGAATTGAGGGCAGAGAGGTTAGGCACCGTGGAGGCTTTGCTTTGCTATCCTTTTATTTTCTCTTGCAAGCCCTGGTAGTTGCTGTATATACTACTTATAGATAGTGATAATTCCCTGTTCGAGAGGAACAGGTGGTTTTTGACCCGAACTTGGCGACATGAAGAGTTGAGGGTTGGGTTCCGTTTGAACACAAACTTCTCGCAAATATACATATGGATGTATACGTCTATTGGTGCGTGTATGGGTGTGTACGTGAGTACCTCGGTAGACGTGGGTGACCAGATACGCATTCGCAGGAGACGCACATCTTTCTCCGTTGGAGATGCAAGTCACTCGTGGGGCTCAACCAAGCCATCCCCACCGGTCACGTACGTATATACAATATCGACGGGACTTTGAGAGGCTCAAGTTCAATCAAGCGCAGGCTTCAAGTTGATGCGAGACAGTTCAGCCGAGGTAGGAATGCAACAGGTATATTGACGTATAGGTCAGAGAGAAACATGGAAGCCAAACGCGCGGCACTCCATACATAACCTTAAAAAAATTAGGTATTCGCTTCACATGCATATGCGTACAATGGGATCTTCTCACCCTCGTGACCCCCTTTGTGTCAAAGAAGTTGGAAAGCCAAAAGGGCAGCAGGGCGGGGACGTGGCCAAGGGAGGGTTGAGGAGGGCCCCTTGCTTCTTTCGCCTAATTGCGCTGATGTCACCTGTATCCCGTCTGGTGTTCGCGATGATGCTCTTTTCAGGAGGACCCAATCTCTTCTTTTTGTTTTCTCTCGCCATATTAAACAGTGTAGTCAAACAAGAAGTAAACAATGGAGAAAAATGCAACGTGGCTGCGAACAAGGAAAAGAAAACAGTAGCAACTCATGAGTTCAAGTAAACAAGCAAGGTAGTCGCAACAAAAAATGGCTCCGTCATGATAGTCATAGCCTCGTTAGGTTGTTTTTGCCATGTTGGCCCTTCTCTTGCGGCGGCCCCTCTCCTCCAAAAGAGAGGGACAAATGTCATGCTGTGGCATCCCAGAAGAAGAAGAAGAAGAAGAGAAGCGAAGATCAACTCAAGCCGATAGAGAACGCCGATGCCCCTGCACCCGTTACCCCACAACATATGATGAGAAAAGATAAGAAAAAAAAACAAGCCCAGAGTCCAGTAGAATGGAAGAGAGAGGACGGCATACAATGAGAAACCAACGCGACACCTTACACCCCGTCACTGCCGTCCCCCTCGAGGACGCCTTCTTCCTCCTGGACTCATCAATATCCTCGCCAATCTCCTCAGGCTTCCTCGGGTCAACAAAGGATGTGAGTCGGCGGTCCCCCAGCGCGCGCCAACCGTGACCCACACGTGCTTTTGCGGGATGGGAACGTTGACCGTCTCGCGATAACCCGTCCACCGAAGCCTGCCCTCGCGACTCATGGAACTGTTGCCCAGCCCACCGTTGCCAACCCACTCTTTGACTACGCGTTTAATGAAGTCCACCTTGCGCCGGAAGTCATTGGCCGCGGGGATGCCTTGAAGCTCGGGGGCAATCTCCGGGCGCCGTCTGGTCGAAGTGGTGGCGGACCGCGTCGAACGCGCTGCTGTGGGCTTCGTCTGGAAGTTGAGCAGTGTCTGTAGCGGGTATGAAAGCACCCCCGCTCGTCGAGCGCACTGGGCGTCAGCGTGCCGGTAGCTGCGAGCTGTGTCGCGGCATCCTCCGGAAGATGCCAGAAATGGCACCAGGTGCCGGTAGAGTCGAGGACGAGCTTGGTATGATCAGGAAGTTGAACTGGAGGTGACCATCGCAAAGACCCAGCAGCCAACGTCGCCGAATCTCTGGTAGAAAATGACAACTTGGGCTGGGTCCACCTGCTCTTGGCCAGCAGGCGGCGCGCTGGCTGGAGATTCATCGCTGGCAACGCCATCATCCCTCCCGTAAGCAATCATGTAGTTAGCAAACTTCTTCCAGAGGATGATTCTCTCTCGTTTCCTGTACTGGTATGCGTCTGAGCCGGGCCCAAGCTTCGCAGGTACGCCGTCTTCGCCGACCGCGACGCGGAACTGCTCGGGCGACATGGCAAGCTGAGCAAGACCATCTTCGCCCCGGTTTTCAAAAAGTGCACGTAGCGGTTCATGGGCACCGGCTGGTGTCTGTCCGCATATCGTTCGTCCTGGCGGAGCTGCACATGCCTTTCCGAATCCTGGATGAGCATGCATGCAGGCGGGAGGAGAACAGCTTTGCTTCCCTCGGGTGTCGCAATCTCACGGAGCACGCAGCCGATGCTACCGTCGTTGAGAATGTACCCAAGACCAAACTTGTTCGTGTAGTCGACCCACTTCACCACCACCTGAGGGTGAGGGGCGCCACCGTCTTGGAAGTTATAATGGCCATGGTGCGTGCATTCAGGGCACGCTCTAGCTCCGCCTGCAGGCGCTGTAGACGGCCCAGGATCACATCGGGCTGGGTGCCTTCAACATTGAGCGTTCGCTCTCGGGAACTAAAGAGGGACGACTTGACGACGGGAGTGGGGTGTAACCGGACCGTAGCGGGCGCAGAGTTAGCCTCACGGGTCCCGCCCTGCCGACTTCCGGACGCAGAAGAATCGGTGCGGGAATGGCCGGCTCCGCCAGTTCTTGTGATAGGGTCGGATTCTGTCTTCCGCAAGGTCTGGCTGCGCGAAGGCAAGGCAAGGGGGTCGGCGGTCTGCTGGCGTTCCCTTCGAGGGAGTGAGCGCAGACTGGGAATCGCCTCCTGAGCAGTTTGTAGAAGCTGCTGCGCATTTTCGGCAATTAGTTTGCGTCGAGGAGCGGACGACGTGGAGGAGGCGGACGACGTCTTTGTTGCGGAGGATGGCATGGCAGAGATTGGGGCCGAAGAAGAAGTGGTGGAGGTAGTGGAACCTGAAGTGGCGGAAGAAACTGTGGCTCGCGGAACGACGACGCCCGCGGGTCTACCCTGCGCTCGCTGTTGCGCGGCAAAGCTTTGGGGCGGTTGTCTGAGGAGCCCGGTAGGCAGGGTTGCTGATGGAGGCAGCGCATCGTCAACAAGGGGTTGCGACTTTGGATGCACTGGGGGTTGAAGCTGTTGGTATTGTTGATGAGAGGGTAGCAACTTCCGCACGCGGGTCGAGCCAGTGGCCTGAGGCTGTTCCCCCAGCCACTCGTCGAACGGTCGGTAGACTATACCCTCGGCGAGGGGATCATGGGGGTTAGGCAAGCCTTCTCCTCCGCCGCCATTTCTTTCCAAACTTGCGAGTGGACGATCTGGGAGGGTGCATAGGGCCCCACCATGCACTCGGTCGACAGGTTCTTGAGATTCTCGAGAGATTCGGCGTATTGCTTTTCCGTCAGTTCCTCAAGGTAGAACTCAGATCGCTCAGGCGGAAGCTCGCGGAGCTTGGGTGTCATGTCGGCGGGGATGGGCATATAGCCGACGCGGAACCAGGGGTGCTGGACGATGGAATCGGGATCGGGTCGAGACTCGGGACTCTCGAGCATACTAGCCACCAAGTCCTTGGCCTCGCCGCTAATGAACTTTTGGGTGGTTTCCGGGTCAGGCCAGTCGTAATCCCTCTCGCGGGCACGACGATAAATCTCGTCTGTGGTCGATGATTGGAAGGGGGTCTGGACGTAAGCATAGCAAACCTGTAGGGTAGACTTGTGTTAGCAGCGGACCAAATTGTTTAACATCAGTTTGCTCTTACATGATGATGCCCAAACTCCAGATATCTACCGAGTGGTCGTGGCCCTTTTTCCCCTTCTCCAGAATCTCGGGGGCAATATAGTTGGGCGTTCCACACAGGGTGGTGCGGCGAATCGTCTGCATATCACGACCCGTCACCACCAAGGCGGCGAGACCGAAATCGCCCACCTTTGCGTTCATGCGAGAGTCCAAGAAGATGTTGCCCATCTTCAAGTCGCGGTGAATGATGCCCTTGCCGTGCATGTACTTGATGGCGCCGGCGACTTGCACGGCGTAAAATCGGACCTCGGGTTCAGTCAGGCCTTTCCGCCTCTTCACGAGATCCATCAGCGAGCCGTTGGGGCAGAGCTCGAGGACGAGGTATGTGGATTGTTCGAAAGTAAAGGCGCGGAGGAACTGGACAATATTCTTATGCTTCATCTTGGAGTGGATTTGAAGCTCGGTTTGAAACTGCACACGCGTTAGCGCCTCAAAGCCTATGTGTGCCAGTGCAAAACAAAAGAGGTGCGGAGGAGTAGCCCGTACCTTTTGCTCCATCTTGGGAGGCATCTTGCTCTTCACAATCTTGAGGGCATACCTCTGCTTGGTGCCCTCAAGCTGACCATGGTAGCAAATGGCAAATCCGCCCTTGCCAAGAAGTTTTCCAACCTGGTATATCGAGCCCTTGGGGTTGCTTGCAGAAGCAGGCTCAGCAACTTGGGAAGGAGGTGGAGGAGGGTGCTCCTTTTCCTTAGCCGCCTTGAACTGAGCCGCCTTGACCTTGATATCCGCCACCTTGTTCGGCATCCTCTGGGCGTTCGCGTCCCTAGGCGATAGAGCCTCTAGGTCGATAGCCCCTTTTACGCCCAGCCTCAGGGCCATCGCGGTTCGGCTAGGTTAGGTGGTCGATGGGCAAGCGGTCCGGGTTATGACGGGACCTCAGACCGAAGTATAGACAGGATGAGAAGTCTGTTGGAAAGGTCTAGTCTTTGACGGAAGTCGTGGGCAAACAATGGATAGACTGGATACATGGAGTTGGTTTTTCAGGGTCAGCTTGGTCTCTTGTCTTGAGAGGGGAAAGAGAGCAACGCAACGGGGTAGCTTGTCTCGGATGCAGTAAAACTCACACTGGTCACAGATAGATCCCACAACAAGTGCATCCAGCAACGAACCCAGGAATATGGCAGCACAAGCGGTGAAAGGGAAGAGGCAGCCGATATGCTCTCCTTTGTCCGTCCGCGGCCGGATAAAAGAATTAAGGGAGAGGAAATAAATCAATCGCGGCCGAAGAGGGAGCCGGATTTTTTAGGGGATGGCGGAGAGAAGAATTAAGGTGGTTGTAATAATAATGTGGACAACCTATGTTCGAGTAACGGATTCGATGCGAATTGAGCTTGGTCGTGGAGCCGTTTGTGTATTTCTCGCGTGGGCTGCGGTTGCACGGCAACCAATCTTCAGCGGCGCTGCGTCCAAATGCTCCGTGACCAATCCACAGTACAATGCACCACAAACACAGTTGCAGGACAAAACAACCCCCGACGTCGCATTAATTTTTAAGAATGAGTCGTCGTGTTATTATTGCATCCTTCAAGAAACCAAGTGGGCTTGTCTTCAGGGATGATGCTAATATTCAATGACTCGGTCGACCTGGTTGAGAGATTTATTAGGGCAAGAAAATTAAAAAGAGGAAAAACATCAGGAAAGACTTTGATCCTCAGCCCCGGACTTCACCCCCAACCATAGTGGATCATTTCGATTGATCTAACGACACCAGTATTGGGCCACCGGCGAAGACCTCAACAATTGATGAGGATTAGGACCGACCAGATTCTCCCAGTAGCGCCTTTACGGTGCCTGCCTTTCCTGTCAGGTCTCGTGGGCTGTTCGCGGCCTGGTTCCGCTCGAGGCGCCGGCTCTCTACCAAGGCTCGCCGTTGATATAAGCCGATATCTTCAAGCAAGGGGACTTGATCTACTGAGTGATGACTACCAGAAGCCCCGTTGGGCGGAGAGTCTAACGGTTCAGCCCTTCCTATAGTCCGTTCAAGGTATCCTGCGCAGTGTAAGGGTGATTCTAAGGGGTGAGTGATCCCGTTCAGCCTGTGCGTACACAGTAGAATACAAAAGTTTACCCAGCCATGACCCCTTTATATGCGCATACTCGTACGTTGCCTGGGGCCTGAAGGGGTACTCGGCACCGTTCGTAATACTCAGGTGCGCCGTTACAGGAGAGTGCTACGAGGCATAGCCACAAGCATCTCGACGAGATCATTGTAAAGAATATTGGGTAGTAGGGAGTGCCTAAGCGTAACCCGTTGTGTATTAACTCCCTCGTGCTGAGAGGTATCATCAGTGGTGATTGGAGATGTAATCCGTCTATGTTCCTGATCTATTTTGAAGGGGGTGGAGTGGGAGGTGAGCTGAGTAGGGGACGGGAGAGAGTCTTTGTACAAAGGGAATGCCTAAATCATTCCTCCCATTTTTGGAGGGTAGAGTGAAGAAATGCCATCTAGATCATGCTGATCATGCAGCCGGTGTAAAGAGCACCACCCTTGCCCAGGCCGATAACCCGACGCTGGCCTCGCCTGTGGTGAGCGCGTCGTTCTCTCTGTTCGCCCGTAACCATAAGTCGCTTCCACATCTGGTGTCTAGCCGCAAACACCCGTACCATTCTTCCATATACGCACAGCATCGTTTGTCTTTGCGCCTCATGTTTGCTAAAAACCTCGTTGGCCAAAGGAAAAAAAGGATCCCGGTAGTCTGGCCTCGCCGTCGCTCGCGTACTCTCATGTGCTGGGTTGAGGCTCGCTCGGCTGCAGCGTCGGGAGGAGCGGCTTCTTAGTCTTCGGGTCTCGCAGTGCCCTCAGCGCTTCTTCCAGCTGATCCACCCTCGCGCTCCGCTTCTCTTCCAGGGCCAGCAGCTCTTCCTCCCGCTTCCTTAGCTCGTCCACCTTCTCCGTCAGCTGGCTAATCTTCTCCGAGTTCTGGTCCGGCTTCTGGGAGCCCCTCCAGTACTCGAAGATGAAGGCCGCACGCGACGCTGAGGATGAAGGCGTCACCCACCACGTCGGCGAATAGCGCCACGGCCTTGGTCTCGGGCAGCGACCTAAACTTCCTCCTCCACACGCTCTGCCACTTGGGCCTGCTCTTTGAACCACTGCTGGCGCTTCCGCTTCCACTTCCGCTGCCGCTGCTGCTTCCACTACCACTGCCGCCACTGCTGCTGCTGCTGCTGCTGCTGCTGCTCGACGAACTCTCCTTCTTTGCTACCTCCTTTTTCGCCACCTCCTCCTTCTCTATTTGCTCTTTTGTCTTGACCGTCGGCGCCTCGGCTAGGTCTTTGGCTCGCAGCTCCGCATCAACGTTCCGGAGAGAGGCGACGGACAGCCTCATGTTCAACTGGTGTATCGACTGACCGTGCCGCGCCGCAAAAGCTCGAAAGCGCGGGTGGTCGTGCGCGGCTGCCTTGATTTGGTTCTACGCAACATGTTCACGGATTAGTGGTTGTTCTTTTTGTCGTTCCCCGCTCTCCCCTTCTGCCTACTGTACCCTCGCACGTAAAATCATGCGATAAGGGGCGACAATGGGGTCAGGCGGCGCCATTTGAAAGCATCACATACCGCGCCATATTTGGATATGTGGCGAACGAAGAGCGCCGCAAGCTTGAAGAGCGGAAGCGGGACCATGGCGAGGAAGATCGAGTTGTGTCGCTGTCGAGATTGTGTTCAAAGGCGGGGAGGAAGGTATGGGGCGTTCTCCCGTGGGGATTCGAGTAAATTTTCAGTCGCTGGCTCGTATCATCTCAGGCAAGATGCAGCTCCTAAAGCGGGGAGTGATGGTAGCAATAATAAACAAAAATACCCCTCTCTCAGTGTCGTGTCAAATGGGGACCGGATCTCAAGGGATTGAATTGCAACTCGGGCAGATTGACGTGGACGGTAAATATTCGGAATCGCCAGCATCTTAGTGGTTCGGACTTAGGAGCCAGGCAGCCTCGTCGAAACCCCGAGATACGGCCAAACACGGGCCCGCAACAACGGCCCACGCAGACATGTTTTCACGATCATGATGGAAAATAATTGCTAGGCTTTGGCATATTATTTTTACGAGTTTTGAAATTTATATATATTAGACTGGGATATTTTTCAATCCGCAGTTGGTCATTGATTTTCATCAATTACGTCCCTGCACCTGCAGGACTAGGCATCTCAGCTCTCCGACCTACTCAGCGCATGACATCATTAGGTGCGCGATGCTGCATCACCTACTACCTCCATCTTCTCAGTGGGTATCACTGTCCAAGGATTTTAAGTTCGAGTCTTGGTCGAGTTGAAAGAGTCATTCGTGTTTCCTTGGCGTTCGGGCATCTATTCACCAACGTTAGCATGGAAGTGGAGAGCGTGAGGCGGGGTATTTCTGTGTCACCTACCTCAATCTCCTGGGCCTCTCCAGATCCAAGGATCCTTTGAATTATGGTATCCTCATCGTGCGTGTCGAATTCGTTCTCAAGATCGGCCCTGGAAGGCGCGTTGTAGGAACCTTGGGCTCCTCCTTGGCTGGATGTTGGGGAAAAGACGTCATGTTAGCCCAGCTGTCAGACAAAGTTGGTGTTGATTTTTGAGCTTTGCCCGGTCCGGTCACGTAGCCTCAGTAGCCCATGGGCTAGGGGTATAGCTCAAGGAAGTGAAATGGAACGATTATGCTTTTTTTCTTTACTTACCCGCCGGTGCCAAAAATCTTGAAGCTTGAGATGAAGTGGGCGAGGGGATAGACTTGTCCGTCTTCCACTTCTGGAATGTCTCGTTGTCGTCAACAAAGACAATGAAGTCCTGGTGGGCACCCTTGAGGTGGACTCGGATCTTGGTAGCCTCGCCGCGCGCCATTATTGCTGTGTGTAAGAGGGGAAAGGTTTAAACGTGGTAAAAGGGAAAGTCGATGATGGATTCGTTGTGATGTTTTGTATACAATCGTCTTGTTGTTCTTCTAATAGTAGAGTGAATTGAAGGGAAGCTCAGCTGTGATCATGAGGGGAGATACGAAGCTACTTATAAATACGGCAGAGTCTTTTACCTCCAGACTGGAGCAGCTCTCATCATGACCTGATAATAAGAATGAGATGGAAGCAGGCAGGTGCAGAGCGACGGCCTGGCACGCCCTCATCAGCAAACCCGCCTTTACGTCATAGGTAGCCTATACCCCAAATCACACCACCCTTCACTGCTACCGCCAAGTCCCACCTACCTGATTCTCGGCCCATCCTCGCCCAACGTCCCGCAACGCTCTCCAGACCCAGCTCCGAGTTGACTTGAAAATTGGCAGGTATCGCCAATCACGCCTGCCCTGAGTGACTCGGGCATGGCATCATCTGCCCCGTTCAACTCCTTGGGGGTTCCTGCGTCAGACCGGCGGGGACGACGACGCTCCGCCATTACCTTCGTCATCGATCTAGACCTTGCCAATGCCCACCTGTCCATATTGGTGAAGCTGATCTTTCTTTTTAACCTTGACTTGCTAGTTAAGTGTGCCCAAATCAGCAACAAAGCTAGCTAAGCTCCTGCTCGCAGGGCGATGGATTGTCTCGGACTCGCACACCCTAGGCTCTATCTATTTTCCTCTCTTTTTCCTCTCTTTCTTTTCCTTCTAATTCAGCTTTGCGGAGAGCCCCAGATATGACAAGTATCTTGGCAAGCAACCCGAGCACATTGGGCTTGTCTCCAAGCCTCGGCCAAGGCTCTGGTTCTTGGTGATGGAAGCACCCGCCTTGCGGATCATCGCGTGCAGTCCCGCTTCTACCCTACCCACCTTCGTATGACCTCATTTGGCATTGGATCCGCCACTTGACAGGGACATTTAGCAATCAATTTCTCCCATACCCAGAAGTGAAAACGAGGAGACGGCAAGCCCGCCTCCTTTTTCGATAGCTCCGGTCACTCCCCACCCACAATTTCTTGGCGAAGAAGCTTCTCGCTCCGTGTAGTTGATGCCTTGTTCGGCGCTGGCGCACCTATGAACCGGGCCCGCGCTGTGCCTGCCGCATGCCACTTCCCCACTTTGACCGACTCCGTGAGGGCCGGAGTTTTCAACTGTTTTAGCGTTGTGCTTGAGTCGTATCAGTGGAGCAGTGCTCCGAAGAGCCTCAAGCCCTCACACAACCGCACGCACAATAACTAGTACCGAGGAAGGAGCTCTGGAAAATGGAGCTCGTGGGTCCATTGGATCAATTGGCCGTATTAATTCGCCGACAGTGCCTGGGGATCCAGCGTCCCAACGCAATCCCACCTACTGTAAGTGGAAAGAATGCCTGTAGTCATCAATTTCTTATTCGACCCGCCAACAAAGAAAGCTGCGACCGCAAGGTAATCCACATCGCCAACGCACATAATACCCAAAACTCTTGAAAGGAAAAAGAAAGGTTTTTCTCCTGTCGAGCAGGGGCCGTGTGTTAATCATCTCGTTTTTCCATTTCCCCCTTTTTCCAACGAAAAGATGGAGAATTTGGGATTTTTAAAGTTTGGAGAGAAGAAAAGGGAACCCCGGCTCTGGCGAGCCCAACCCTGCCCATGATCGACGCAAGTGGTTTCCGATCCGTTTCGGACGTCTGCCCTGAGCGGGACTTCGCCTGCCCATGCAACATCGTTCATGCGGTGCACGCATCCCAGAGCCTCCAACAAATCTCTAATACCCTCGACGTCCTCTTGGGGAGACGGGCCCTGGTGGAAATTTGTTCGTATTTGGCTGGGGGGGAGGTGTCCGCTCTGTCGGATTTGAGTCTAAAGGTTGATTCTGCAGGGTGACGATCCCAACAGGAGTGGCCAGAGAACCCGCTCAACGAGGTTAAAGTCGCTGTCACTGTCTCCCTCTAGCTGAATCGAGTAGGAGAGATTTGTCTTCTTGAGAGCAGACATGTCTCATTGAAGAAACCGTTTCCTCAGAGTTCTCCCAGCATCACAAAGGTTTGAGTGGAGGACACAAGCGTTTCAAAAAAGCTTTCGTTTTTATTCATTTTGCGATTGTAAATGAGGCATTCCATTCATTTAGTCGCTGTTCGTGAGGGCTGATATGAACAAGCCCTCGTAATACACATATGCGGAGAGTAGTAAAAGTTGTTCGAGCAACGTGGGTGCCGTCTCCCAACTGTGAAAACCCTTCCGCATCTACCATCCTCCTCTCAGATCCTCGCGACACAAGGCTCACTCTTCCCACTTCCCCTTCCTCCCCATCGCCGTGGCCTCGGAGCTTCGAACAAAAGCGAGAGTGTTTCTGGAGGAAACACCAAAAACCTTGGACCCTTCAGCCCCTCTCGCCATACGACAGCTGCCTTTTCCACCCCCATGTCCTCCAAGCCTTGCCCCACAACCACTCAGTCCTCCGTGATGAAATCCCTTTCCAGCCAATTGCGCATGAACCTCGAGTAGCCGGTATTGAAACAGTCGGTCCTCCAGATAATCAATGACTTGCTTGGCATGTTTGACTGCGGGCAAACACACACGGAGGGTCTTTGTGTAAGCTGCTTCTGCGATGACGGAGGCCGGAGTCAAGACAATGCAACGCCGATGCAATATATTGCCGTGTGCAGAAAAATAAGAGAGAAAAATACCAGGAAAAAAAAGCACTTGAAAAGAAACTTGCGTTATGAAGTAATTGGGAAGAAATAAAAAGAAAAAAATTTAGGCACTTGGTTGGCTTGTCATTGGAGGACACGGAAAAATGTTCCGGAGATGCATAGAACAGAGTCCCCCAAAATCTTGAAGGCCCTCTAAATATTGAAGTCGAAGAGTAGCGACAAGTCTTTTTTGTTTGTCGGCGGCTGGATATGTACACAAGTCCATCGGTGGAGAACTATCGTCTGCAGCTGAGCCGCGGAGCTGCCAAGCACGAAAGATCGAATCCATGTTTGCCAGCAGGAAGCTTACGCCCGCCCACGACCACCACGGTTGGGCAAAGTCCAGGGTTTCGCGCAGATGATCTAAAGCCTTAATGTTAGCAGCCGAAAGTACAGTGGGTGCGCTAGCAAGCCTAGGCGTGGGCAAGGTGAAAGAGTCAAGAGACGTACCTCTCCTTCGCTATAGGCCCAGAAATACACCAAAAGGCCAATAAAGTAGTAAATGGCGGCGTTGGTGCCCTGGTAAATGAGGGCAGCGGCCAAGGTGGTGAGAGGGAGGAAGGCCAGGCGGAACTCGAGGCTTCGATGAACGGAGGACCCGGCGAGCAAGGGTAGGGGCCATTCCATGGCGAACAGAACCACCCCGAATACTAAATTGATGATTTGGAGGATTGGGAATGGTTTCACCGCGCGGTCCAGTGTTAGTGTGAGGAAGTCCCAGAAGATCTTGGGCCAGAAGAAGCCCTCGATCGCGGCAGCAACTTGGTCTAGTTCAAGGAGAATACAGGTTAGCTATTTGGGCCAGCAGCAATCTCGGCAAGGAGCCAGGAGTCCAGGGCCAACCATCTGCGAGAGGGTTCATCGCAGGGTTGCGCGCTCGGCACTTCCAGAGGGGGAGACGTACAAGCTGAAGCCGTGAGGATGATGAGGCGAGCCCAGTGGTTCTTGATAAGTCTGCCCATCTTGACGGTGGTTGTTTAATGATAGGTTGGGGTATCGGTTCGGAGAGAGAGGTGTTTCGATTCGGTTCGACTTCGAAGAGTTCGGATTTCCTTGCACAGACCCGTCCGGCAAACCTCGAATTCCCTTTTCTTTTCAAGGTTCCTTAATCGCTATCGATGGCTGGAACTAGAAATTCCCACACGCAAACAGTTCCTCTCGTGGAGCGGATCGATCGAATGTAGGTATTAAGGGTGTTGTTTTCGGGTTCGGGAGGGAGCGAGTCCTCTTCTGAATTATAATACTACGGGAATAAACCGGCGGCTCTGTCGAAGAAGTCCGAGAATGACGAGAATCGAAGTCGACGAACACGAAACGGAAAAGAAGAACAAGAAAAAAGATATTGGCGGGAAAGAAGGGAAACAGGTATCCAGACCTGGCTTGGGTTGAAAGCAGAAAGAAAAAAGAACCAGTCGATGTTAAAAGAATGCTATCGACAGGCTAAGGGGCAGCGCTGACGAGCAGAGAGAAGGGAAGGGTGGGGGAGAAAAAGAGAGGAGAGGAATTAGAGTGTGAGAGTTCCGATGGGGAGGACGAAGTCTATATTGGGACGGGCAGATTTCGGGATCGCCACGGATGGGAAGGGGAGCCACCAAGGACAGACAGAGAGGCAGGCGGCCAAGCAAGGTTAATCTGGTGGTAGCGTCTCAGAGAGGCCCTCAGACAAAGGCTAGGGTACCTCTGTCCCCGGTGATCAGGGTAAGGCGGCGAGCTAGGCGTGGGAGGAGCGATGGGGGGTGGAAGATGTGTCAGATCCCTTGCTGGCCCTTGTCGATGGGTATCGGACGCTTCTGAATTAATGGTGTTGCTGAGGTTAATGTTGTGCAAATCCGATCTATGGTGACAGCTGGCACAAACATCCGAGCGGGCGTGGATATGACCTTGCTGGGGGAGGGAGAAACGAGGAGAAGAAAAGAACCCGTGAGGAATTGAGACGATTTCTGCACAAAGGGGATCGAGATACACGGCGGAGGGTTGGTCGGTGTTAGGCCACGATCTGAAGCACGAGGTGTTTGATACGGGCGAGTAGTGCGGCTCTGGAGGACCTTGGGTGGGCGTGGTTGAGGATCGGTGTGGGAGGCCACTAACAGCGAGGCAAGTCACTCGGTGGATTGAGGGCTGCTATCGGCATGGGGGGGAGGAGCCCAGTTGGGTCTGAGGCAAATTGTCAGGCCCTGTTCAGGGTGCGCTGCCTGAGAGAGAGGGCTCTGCGTCGTTGCATTAAAAGGGGGAGGGACGAAGATCAGACAGGCAAGGCGGTTGCTCTGCGGGAGTATGAAGCAGGAGGTGGTCGACCACGGGTGAGGCGGCGACACTCGCAGTTTAAGAACAGACTCTAGGGCCGGGGGTGTGGCCGGGAGAGGAGGAGAGCAAATCGTGCGGGTGCAAGCCATGTACATTTGACGGGCAGCCACTGACGACGGAGCAGACAAGTATCGATTGTTCGATGGCGATTCTCCGCCGGGAAAAAGGAATTGAAAAGGTGATAGAAGGAGGAGAGAGAACTCGGCAGGCACAGAAGAAACCCTTGTTGACGAGCACCGATTTTCCCGTGCAGGATTGATGCGAACTTGGCGACCTTTCAGGGAATATTGGAGCTGAGAAGGGAAAGTACGACGCATGCGATGGATTTTAATCTTCTCGGGCGCGTAAATCGAAGGGTCATTCACTCTTTTTTCTGCGTTTCTCGCCCTCTCGCCCATGAATATATCTAGACGTGATACCCAAAATACCCTGATTCCCCATTCTTTCCGCCCGCCTACGGTGTAGAACTGGGTGGGAAAGCACACGAGAGGGACTTGGCTTGTCAATGCTTTGGGCGAATCCGGCATCGACATGGGAGCAACGAGGGGGTGGGTGGAGGGGTGCAGGGGCTGGGCGGTTAGAGAATCGACAGGGGCCAATCACGCCCCTTGCCGCCTCTTGGCTGCAACTCTGGAGAACCGTCCCTCTCCACAGTGCGGCCTTGACAAGTCTCTCTCCAAGCGAGTTGTCTTGCTTTCTGAAGCGCAATCTGCATCAACGATCCCGCCGATTGGTGATCTTCCCAGTCGCCAACTTGCCCACATCCACCATCAATTCGTATTGTACAAGCAGGACAGGCAACTTCCCTTCGGGTATTTTAATTATTAACCTAAAAGAAAGAGCAGGGAAACGAACAAGCAGACGCAGAAGCAGAAGCAGAAGCAGAAAATGGCGTCCGGCACTAGTACCCGATCCCCCACCAAGAATGCGTGATCCCCCGCCGGCGTGGTACCCAGACGATCTTGACGGCAACCTTCAAGAGCGTTCCACGTCTCTGTATGAAAACGAACATCGATCAAGATGATCACTTATTCTTGGAGCCCCTTCGCTCCTCGGCTTGAGGATATCAGGCTCTCAACGAATATCTATCTTGACAGCGACCCCGGCTTATAACCTCGATCAATTACTTGACACGCACACGCTAAATGTCTGCTCGCCAGGGCGAGGGGAGTGGAGGCTGTCAAGAGAGCCTTCAGGTTTTAGATTCGTGACGAAATGGCTGTCATCCGATACTTCCAAGCAAAGCGACTCATTGAAGAAAATGCAAGGCGGCTCACTGGCCTTCTTTTCACCTGTGCTCGTGAGCAAAAACATCGAATGCAATGCTGTTACCCCAGCCTCCCAGAGGATGAAGGATGGATGGCACAGTGTGCAGAATTAACGGCCTCTACCCTTGTTAGTGGATTCGATGTGACGAGAACAGGTCCAAAATGCACGAAAAGCTTGGACTCAAAGCGCTGCACAAGGACCCTTGTCGGACCGGGCAGTTTTATCAAGGGAAAATGCTGCATATAGTGCAGAACCCTGTCGTTGCCGCCCTTATGTAATCCGGTCCACAGCACGACTTTCCCCAACAGGAATGTTGATCCACACAACCAAAAACGCAGAGGCAAGAAGACATCAGCACTCGTCCAACCCCAAACTTATTACAGTCGATAGAGAGTCGTTTTTCTACACGAGAGTGTGGTTTTGATCTCCTTTTCCTTATCTCCTCGGCCATACGCCTTTAATGTTCAAATGAACAGTTCAATTCCGAATTTCTTTGACGCGGAGGCTAAAAATCAAAGTTTTTGGCAACTCATGCCATCCCATGATCTGAGACTTGAAAGATCTCCACCATGAAGCAGTCCATGTTTGAGATGAGAGCTGTGCGCCACGATCTGCCTCACACCCCTCCCCCCTTTTTGCTTCCCCATTCTCTCTTCCCTCTTTCCCTTTTTTCCTCTCTTCCACCGGGCCCTCCGGCATTCAGCCAAGCATTAGAGAACCCTCGCTTTTTCCAAACTCAGGTCTGCGCGCTTTCTCTGACAGCCCGAGGAGGAACCAACTGTCATGAAAGCGCCTCGGGAAGGCTCGTGGCCGAGCACGGCCAAAGTCTATGACGACATGCCTTTTTTTTTTTTTTTCATGTGGTCAGCCCGTGGTTTAACACGACGAGCGGAATGCCGAATGGCTCTGTTTGTCCCCTGAGATCGGACCATGCCTGCTCGAAATAAAGGCGCGGACATCTAGCGGAGATGTTGCAATCTTTGGTGACCACCCTGTCGACATCGTGCCGCACGATAGAGCAGTTCTCGTGCAGTCCCGCGCCCGCGCAACCATGCCATTTGGGTGATGTCGAGCAACCCATGGTTTGAGATAGCCTTCATTTGCCCCTTTTCTCTTCTTTTCGAAGCCTTCTCGTTGGATATGCTGCGTCGATCCCAGATGTCGCAGTGCATCTACAAGTAGGATTGTGATGTGTGCCGGTATGGTTCAACACTCAACCTCGGGACGGTTCTCCTTCTCAGAGCGCCCTTCTTTTTGGATCGTAAATAGTGAACAGCTCGTGGCATGTTTTTCAAGCCTTCCCGCAATACCCTTCTTTCGATTGGGAAACCGCCACAGGGGAAATCGCCAGACCTTCAGCCCCCACCCAAACCCAAGAGTCGTCTCGTTTTTCCCTGCGGCTACATCGTACACGCAGTCTCATAATGGCGCCACGAGCCTGCTGTTGGTGCATTGTTACAACTGGAGCGCACTCAACTCTGTTCAAGCAAGGCGGATCTAAGGCTTGCGGCATACATTAGTGATAACATTGAGCCACCCATGATAGATGGCTGTACCTCCGTAGTATTCAGGTGGTGGCTGTAACCAATTAGTTATCCACTAGGGCCTCCCCAATCCGGCCAATGCAAGCCCGTGTTGGCCATGAAAGTGCCATTGTCGAAAGAAAGGAAGAAAGAAAAGGGAAAAGCGAGATCAAATTGATATCAGGTCTCTCACTTTCTTCGAAACCGTCAAATCCTCCTCATCAGTCGAGCTGCGCGTTGGGGGATTCGTAGCCTTTGCCATCGCGACCCCACCAACTCCGATAAGAGGCCCGTCCTCCGGGCCGGCGCCTCTCTCTCCCCTCCTATTGGATATCGCCCCTCACTTTAGAAGGCGGCCGAGCATCTCTTGCCCGAAATGGAAGCCGCCGGATGGGGGCCAAGTGGCTGGGGCGACTTCCCGCCTTCCAGATTTTTGCTGTCCACCTCTTCGGCCTTGAAGAAGGCCAAGCTGGAAGAACACCTGCTTCGCCCAGCCAGCTGGCCACCATGAATCTTCATCAGCGACCCGGAGGCTTGCACCCCCGTGCCCCCTCACCCCCAATTCAATGTAAATCCGTGCTGTAGCTACCGCCACTCATTTACTACTACCAACCTCCAAAACGACCTGGCCAGGAGCCTGATAGACGGGGGAAGCAGAACGCGAATTGCGACTTCGGGGAAGAAATACCCCAGGGCAACCTTGATACTCTCTTTTGTCTTAAATTCGCTTTTTTAACCCCTCTTTTGGGGACGGGTAGGAGGGCATTCCACTTAGTTGTCCAGGCTAAGTTTATTCTCGCAACAGGCATTGAAGGATGGAAAGAGCATTTTTGAGGGATTGGTGATATCGTCAGTCCAGGTATATATGTCCTCTACACCAAACTTCGTACACGTGGATGCCAGAATAGCCTTACTCAAACGTCCACGGTCGCTCTACACGTGGTTCGCTCCGTATAATTAACTTTTAAGCGTCTGCCATAAAACCTTCCCCTTCGCCAGAATGAAATCCAACACCTTGCCGCCATTCATAATAACATGGGTATCGATGATAAAACATAAAGAAGAAGAAGAAGAAGAGGAGGAGAAGGGAGAGGGGGACTGCAAACCCCCAAAACATGCTTTTAAGCCAGCTCCATCACCCGATGTACGCCCTAGAACACAAGGCCTATTCCTACAATCCTACACCCGTGTCTGGAGAACTCGCGCTCCTTAGTACCAACACACACACCATCAAGTGAAGATGCTTCGAAGGCCAGAAAGAACGCTTCCTTTGCCCAGTGTTGTCGCCTTGGATACCTTCCCCCACCGCTTTGATCGCCGTCTTCTAGGATCTCTCAATGACTTGTCCGGTTGTAGATTCTCCTTTTCTGACGACACCGGTGCCGAAAGGAGCCCCTGGCCAGATTGTTGGAAGCCGCTAGGTTCAGTTCTAGGTCTCGTCTGCGTAGATATTCGGGTCGTATCTTGTGCATCCAAGTCTCGCCTAGTCTGAATGACGGCCATTGGCGGGCCGGGGCTACGTCTTCGGATAGTGCGCATATATAGGCCTTCCGCGGATTCAACATGAGTAATACTGCGCGGTGATGGCGGCGTATCAGCGCAATCTGGCGTTCTAGCCTCATTCTCATCCTGGATCATGGGAAGACCGGATTCTTCCCCAAAAGGCGACTTCCACTCGATCGGGGTGTCAGGGTCCTGGTGAGATGCGTTCCAGCTGCCATCGTCTCCCTCTCCCGTTTCTGTATCGGCCGAAGCTTTAGGGAGGCTTGTGAGGCTACCCGGCCGACGGCCAAAAGAGCCCGTGATGCTTGCAACGCTTAGCCTCCGCATCATGGAGGACGCGGATGTACGGACGAGATGCTCGCTCCTCGATCTCGTGGTCATGCCGGGAAAAGGGAGGATATCGCGACTCCAGACATCGGCGAGTAAAGCCTCTAGCCTTGCCCTCTCCGCGCGAGATGGGGCTAAAATGGGGATCCTATGGTGTGTTGTGAGCAACGACTGCGATCGGTTCATCGATGCATTTGCTGCGGAGTGAGGTGGATCTTTCACCACACAAGTATTTTTCAAGATAACTTGACAAAGGGATGATTTGGGGCTGACGGTGGTCGCTCGGTGGATGGAGAGACGCCGGGCCATAGTACCTAATTTTTCAGAAAAGCGCATTTCGTTAGCCGGCTACCAAAGTGCACGGGTGCTCAAGGGGCCTGGATGTTGAGGAATCATACCTGGTTTTCCAAAGATAGTCCCCAACGGCTTGATGTCTAGCGAGAGCCAGCTAAACCAATTTGGCTCTTTGGGCAAGACCCGGTCGAACGAAGGACTTGCCAGCCGACACCTCCATTCCAGCTCTTCTTTTCCGGTACACGCCGTCAACAGAACCTCGTAGAGCTGACAGTCGCATTCAAAGACGACTTTCCAGGAATAAGGCGCCGTGTGGCATTGCAGGCCTTGCATAGCTCCGAGTTAGTTCCCGAGTTTTCCCATTGCCATTCACCGAAGGGATAGTGCTCACCTCGACCATTGTCAACCTCCTCAACCTTTAAAGAAGCGAGCTCAACACAGAGCTGGATCGTATATATCTGGTCCGCCCTACCCGCCGAGGCAAGGCAAAGATAGTTTTGGTAGAGAAGGCAGACCATGTATTGACCCTGTACACCTTCTTTTGTTGCCCAGCAAACATGAAGCGTTCCACAAAGCTTGATATGACCGAATGACCGGATTCGGTTCTTCGAGGCAGCATCCAGCCGCTGAAAAATCATATGAAGCCCAAGTTAGAGATAATTCATCATAGCATACATCTTGTAGAGCAAGTGGAAACGGGAACCTAAACTGCCGTCTAGGAATATTTTACGTACCTGGTTGGAGAAGACAAGGCGGTCCTGGAGTGTCCATGTTTTTCTAGGATAGACTTCATCCTCGCGTCGTCGGTGGCACGGTTGATCTCCGCCGTTGCCTCGCGAAGCCGAATCAGTGTATTCTCTACTTCCATGTGCGAATTGGCACAATCGTCTACTGTCGTATACTTGAGAAGCTCCGCAAAAGCAAAGGATATCGACACACTCTTTGAATAGGCTACGTCACCAGGTCTAGGTTAGTCTCGGATTCCGCATGGCACTGAGGAATGGCCCGGCGCAGTGGTGGTCTTGTCTCACCTTCATGAGGAGGTCCGCAATAGTCATTGCCTTCCTTGAACGGTCTGTCTGGCTCTGCTTGGATCCTATGGAGGAAGCAAGAATTTCTACGCCCTTTTGGTAGCTCTCCCATTCCGGCATCGTTCGATGCATCGAGTTTATGTCCTTGATCATCATCTCGTACTTGGCTCCATACTCCTTATATATGAAGAAGCGATTCATCTGCCGCATATTGGTTAGGACGTAATACACCCCATGGAAAAAAACAATCTCGTTGACTAAGGAAAAAAGACTCACCCGTTTACCAAAAATTTTGGCAACCTCTTCTGCGACTTGGGCATCGGCAATCATTCCGGGGATGCGCTGTAGCCATGATATATGCTTGGCGTTTTCCGGAACCGAGTCCAGGCTCCGCCAGCGTTGGTGGGTCTTGGGCCGAAGCATCTCCGGCTGTTTCAGAAGCTCCGCTTGGGTGTACTCCGAGTTGGGGACAACGCGATGTAACTCGCCTAGGATTTCTTCGTGCAGTTCCACGATCTCAGTAAGATTGCGGTTGATGGAAGATCTAAGCCCGGCCGATATCGAGGGCAGCGAGGCAAAGGTTGTCATGTACACCTACCTCTGGGTTAGTATTGTACGCACAAGGGGATGGGGTAAAAGAGCTCACATTGATTAGAAATCGTACATCACCGATATAATTTTCTTCGGTGGCGATAAGTTCCTCCAAGATGCTCCGACGCTGGATCGACCGACTGAGGGCGGCCTTGTCTGTTGTGACTATGAAACCTCCATTATAGGTGCTGTCCTCGGAAAATCGAGGGGCAGCAACCGATAATCGGCTACTACGATCGGTCCTTGTTCTCGAATGCATTGTCCCGGGGCGACTTCGCGTTCTTGTTGTTATGCTTCCTAGGCCAAGGCTAGCGCTCTTCACAGCGGATACAAAGGCAAACGAGGAGCCAGACGAGGATTGTGCATGGCCGTGGAAGCTGCCTTCGAGTCCGTGAGGGGCTCTCCTCGACCTGTAGCTTGCACGACGATGCAATGAAGATATCCACTTTTGAAAGGGACCCCTCTCCTCCGCTGAGCTTGTTTCGACATCCCCATTGTTGTAGTAGTAGGGAGAAGGAATAGACGAGGCCGTAAGCAGTGGGTGAGGATCGTGGGAAGATACTAGGTCGGATCCGGGTGTAAATATAACGCTGTCGTCGACTGATATCCGAGGAATAGTGAGTTGTTCTTCTGGGTATTTGGGTTCACCAGTGAGCGTTCGCAGCAGGGAAGTAAGGCCAGCCCAATCCGACCAACTGTCCCCAGGGGCCGTTGATGGTCTTTCCGGTAGCCCTGCGACACCGAATTCATCGCCGAGCATGCCTTCGTGCGGATCAGGAGGTGTTATGGGATTCTCCCAACTTGATTTTCTTGTGGCAGTAACAAAGCTTGCATTTGAACTTGATAACGACGACGCAGCATCCGCCGAGCCTGCCGTATCAGCCATGGCTGCTCGAATGACGGACGCAGCACGGCCCAACTGTGCGGGTTATAGACACACGGACGGGCAATCTCTAGATCATCTCAGCAAAAGCAAAAAAGAAAAAGAAACAAGAAAAGGCCGTAATAAGAGAAATAAAGGTCTCGGCTTTGGGTGACCCGGGGAAAAGGGGGTAGGCGGGGAATCTGGAGGCTGTCGGAATACGCAAATAATCTCTCAATAAGCTTTGTAAATGCTGAAACAGGAGTACGCGCTGTTTTTGGTGATGGACCTGAGCTTGAAAAGACGGCCAGAGGAGGATTGATAGAGAAAAAGGCCCAAGACGGCGTAAAAGGAAAAGGACCAGAGGTGGTGAAGGATGACTGGAGTCGATGATTCCCAAACTCGAGAGGTACGTAGAGGTACCACAGGAGTGCTAAGTGATTCCGCGGTGCGCCTTCCGGTCGTGGTTTCCCGAAGCAATCTGGAGAGAAAAGCAAGGAGGTTGCGGTCGAAGAGTTGCGCGGAGATGGGACGCTACAAACAATGAATATTTGAGGCAGTCACAACGACGCCACTCACCGCACACACACTCTAACTCGTTCTCTCTTTTCTTGGTACAGACAAACACACGCATACACACGCACACACACGCACACACACTATTTCTCACAAGCGCTCACTCGCCTCCCTCTGGTAGAAGTCTTCTCCCGCTTCGTCGCGTTGGCCGGGTATGATGCTGTGACCAACAAGTGGCGCGAAACCAGCGCGAGCCGAGGAAATGAAAATTGGAAGCCTGTCCGGAACCTCTTACTTGCCGGGAGAGAGGAGGCGATGTCTCGTTGCACAGATCTGTCGTTCTTGGTTTCACGAGGTGGTGGCGTCCAACAAGTTCGGAGCGTCCTTAAGTAGGTGGATCGGATTGATATGCGAGGTAAGTAAACAGAATGAGTCTACAAGACGAGATCCGTGGAACCACGAGCCGGTATAATAGATGGCTTGTACAATGGGGACCGGCGGTTGTTGCTAGGCCGTTCTTCAGGTGTCGTCAGCCGGGAATCACAAGAAGTCGAGGGTCGCGTATCAGGGATGGCTATGGTCGGTACTGCCGTTCGAAGATGATGGAAGCCGAGGATGAGACGGAGTGAGAAGCCGCCGAGCTGTGGGAAAGCAAAGAAGAGAAAAAGAAGGGAAAAAAGAAAAACAAAATGGAAAGCGTAGTTAGGCCGTGGAAAGAAGAAGACAACAACTAATAGACGGAAATCTTGCGCCGGCGCCGACAGGAACGGGGTCCACAGATGCAAACCAGGGACGAATAGTGAGTGCCTAGGCGTTTTGTTGCCAGACGCCGGTTTATAGGTTTTCTGGATTACCTCAATTCCGGCATGAGATTATGACGTGCTGATGCAGGTAGGTGGATTATGGAAAGCATCGAATTCATGAACAATGATCGTGCTTGCGCGCTTTCGTTTTAGCCAGTCACGGACTGGCGAGAAAAGCCGGACCTGATAACCCGGAACAGGAACAGGAACCCGCTGTCCGAACCCACGACAAGTAATCGGATGGAGGGCGAAGACATCAAATGGATCAATGGATGGGTCGGGTTGGAGCTTGGGTGGAGCCCCTCTCTCGCTTTCTCGCTCTGCCTTGGTCACAACCTCGAGCAACCTTTGTGCGGCCTGGCTATCTTGAGATGGGGCGGGCGAGGACGGACGAGGAACACAGGGGACTAGCTCAAACTAGCCAGAACCTTTTGCAACGGGTGTATCGAATGAAAGGAGCTTTAGCCCCTCTTTCCTCTAATCTCAATAGCTACGAAGGATGGGGAATGGCAAAACCATTGTCTCAGAGGCTATTACCATCTTAAATGCTGGCCCCGTCTTAGGCTGCCGGACCTCCGCCGCAGATCAAAGCATGCTGGGCTTGAGGCCCGACTCTTGTTGCTGGTTGGAGGCCGCGACTGCCACGCCATCCATCAACGTGATGGCGGATGAGCCGCCCCCGGCGGCAGGACGAGTTCCTACTTGATCGAGGTTTGCGCCTTGCATCACTGCTGCTGCCGGCGAAAGCGATCGCATCCAGGCACGGTTCGCCGGAGGCTTGGAGGCGGTGGGTATTACGTCCCGAGGGAGCGCCAGTCCTTGGTTCGAACCTGTGCAGGTAATATGAGGAAATTTAAAGCATTTAACTTCGACCCGTCCCCTTGGCCACAAAATCCTTGAACCTTCCGCCCCCAACCGGGTCGGCCAAGGCACCGATGCGTTTGGTTGAAACTGGGATTGCTTGATTTCCTGGCGCCACACATGCTTTGTGTTCAAACAGGATAGGTAAGGTATTATTGTGTAGGCATTCATGGATAATGTTGGAAGCCACGCAACAAGCAGAGAAAATTGGGAGCTGCTGCCCATGGTAGGACGGCGCCGTGCAACACATCGATCGGCTGTACCATGATGCAGCGAGTTTTATCTTCTCATACCTGTTTTCATGCTATGAGGTTCATTCCCATCAACTCAACTTACTTAACTTACCCGACCTCCGCTCACCTGCATCCTCCATCCTCCATCTTCCCTCCTCCCTTCGGAAAAGGCCCTCGAGAAAAAAAAAGAAAAGAAGAAGAAAGGCAAGGCTCCAAGGGCCGAGGGAAACGATGCGACGAACTCTTCGCTGGGTTTTAATTAGACTTGGAGGGTGGGGCTAGGATTGAGGTCGAGGCGGAAGGTCTCAATCAGCTTGGGCAACGGCGGTCTTGCCTCATCTCAGAAAACACTCAAGGCTCTGGCGGTCGACTTGAGACATGGGGCGAGTCCGGCGAGAGATGCGACAATGAGGACCTGGCCGTGCTCATTTGCCTTTGCCTTTAATCCCCCTCTCCCTTCTCCCTTCTCTCTTTTATTTTAACAGGACGGAGCAGTATTTCGGGCCGTAGGGGCGTTTCGGAATTTCCTCGTCTGACACAAGAAAAAGAGAAGAGAAGGCATTCTTTGGGAGGGTTTGGGGGCGGCTCAAGTCCACATCGCCTGGTCCGTCAGCCGAAACAACAAACGAAAAACACCCATGCTTTGGGAAGGTTGAACCTGCCCCTGCCCTACCAGGCTCAACCTGTTTGCCAGCGTGGTCGCTTTTCGGCAATTCCACTGGCCAGCCGAACTCTCCAGCCATGTGGGTGGGTGGCCCCTTCCTTCCTCTCGGATACTTTTGTCAATTGTGGACATCACCAAGGGTACGTGTACTCTTTGTACTATGGGGCACTTGGACACCCACGAAGCACTCCACCCGATGGCGATGGATCCATTCCATCCGCCATGATTTGAGGGGCCTCTTGGGGCTCAAAGCAGTATCATTGATTGCGGCTAGGACGCACCACCTGACTTCCCAGCTATGTTAGTGACTATGGTTAGTAATCGGCTTGTTTCGCCCCCACCCGAAACTTGACATGGCGATTTGCCCCCGATCTTCCCCTCGCTTCGTTGCCCGGCGTCGGAAGCGGTGGCCCAAGCGGCAACCTTTTGAGGCAGGCGGTGACTTCTTTCAATTGTCTTTTGACAGGCAGAAAACTTCGCGTCCTTGCCAGTTTGGGAAGTTCTTCACGGATTAAACGAACACGTACACTTTTTCGCTGTTGGAGACCAAAGGTGCCACTAGACCATATCTTCGGCTTCCAAGACTTTCTCTCACCAGCAAAGGATTTGAAGGAGGTCTTTTGTTGAAAAGGTTTCCCTTCGTTTTCTCGTTTTTCCCCCGCCATCTCTTCTTCTTCATCCTTTTGAATCTATTATTTTCCTTCTTTTTCTTCCCCCTTTCTTTTTCCCCTCCCTTTGTCCCTTGTCTCGACAGCGGTCATTTGACAGCGCTGTCTCCATCACCGCCAAGGTCTCAGCCGTGCTTACCGGCCCCAGGTACAAGGACTAGTACCAACTATTACCTTCCTTCAGCAGTCCCTTCCAATTTCCACATCGACTACTTCCACACTCCAAGTTTCCCCTCGACGACAAAGACCGCGAACGTGGGGTCTCAGCAAGGACATCGGCCAAAGAATTTCAGCGCATGAGCTTAGCCGCAGATTCACACCTGAGCGAATTATTCTCGAATTCATCTTGGTGCTGCGAATCGTCGCGCGCAACAGCACTCGTTCGCAATGGAGGCCGCATATGCGCAGCCCATCCACAATGTCCTCAAATCGTTCGGTTCCGACCCCACAGACGGGTTGAGTGATGGTCAGGTCTCGAGCTTGCGCCAGAAGCATGGCAAAAACTGTATGCCATTGCCCCCTTTTCTACTCTCTTCCCAGTTCAACTTTTGAATCCCAACTAACGCCGCCTAGCGATTCCCGAGGAGCCCCTACTCCCATCTGGGAGCTTATTCTCGAGCAGTTCAAGGATCAGCTTGTTCTGATTCTTCTCGGTTCGGCCGCCGTCTCTTTGGACTGGCCCTCTTTGAACAAGAAGAGGGCTGGAGTGCGTTTGTTGACCCCGCCGTGGTACGTTGCTTGCGCCCGTCACATCCTCGTCGCGACGTGGAAGCCTTATGCTTGATTCGACATTTAGCTAATATGTTGCCTATTCCACCTTAGATCCTTACCATTCTTATCCTCAATGCCGTTGTCGGAGTTTCCCAGGAAAGCAGCGCGGAGAAGGCTATTGCTGCCCTTCAAGAATACTCGGCCAACGAAGCGAATGTCATCAGGAATGGTGGCCACGTTTCTCGCGTCAAGGCCGAGGAACTTGTCCCCGGTGATATTATCAGTATCCACGTTGGCGACCGTATCCCTGCTGATTGCCGTCTCGTGGCAATCGAAAGCAACAACTTCGCCGTCGACCAGGCTATTCTCACCGGTGAAAGCGAGAGTGGGCAAGGACGACACCATCGTCGTCAGTGATACCAAGGCTGTGCTTCAGGATCAGGTCAACATGCTATTCTCTGGAACTACCGTGGTTACCGGCCGCGCCAAAGCGGTCGTCGTCTTGACCGGGTCTTCTACAGCCATTGGCGGCATCCAGGAGAGCATCACTGCCCAGATCTCGGAGCCCACGCCCTTGAAGCAGAAGTTGAACGATTTTGGCGACAGCCTCGCCAAAGTCATCACCGTAATCTGCGTCTTGGTCTGGCTTATCAACATTCCCCATTTCAGCGACCCCTCCCACGGTAACTGGACCAAGGGTGCCATCTACTATCTCAAGATCGCCGTTTCTCTTGGTGTCGCTGCTATTCCCGAAGGCCTTGCTGTTGTTATCACCACCTGTCTCGCGCTCGGAACTCGCAAGATGGCTGCCAAGAACGCCGTCGTGCGCAGCCTTCCTCTGTCGAAACATTGGGCAGCTGCAGTGTTGTCTGCTCTGACAAGACCGGCACTCTGACCACCAACCAGATGAGCGTTAACAAGGTTGTCTACATTGATGAATCAGGCGCCGGCTTCCAGGAGCTCGACGTGGAGGGCTCCACCTTTGCCCCTCGCGGCGATGTCAAGATCAATGGTAAAGTTACCCAGGATGTCATCCAAACCTCGAGCACGGTTCGTCAGATTGCCGAAGTTGCGGCGCTTTGTAACGATTCCCACCTTGCCTATGATAGCCGCACTGGAAACTACAGCTTGATCGGCGAACCCACTGAGGGCGCATTGCGCGTTCTTGCTGAGAAGCTGGGCCCCTGTGCCCTCCGACTGCCCCCGCGAGGATGCCGGTCACTACGCTAGCTCCTGGCACGAGAAGCAATATCCCCGCCTCGCCACTTATGAATTCTCTCGCGATCGAAAGAGCATGTCGGTTTTGGTTCACGACCACAACAAGAAGAAACTCCTCGTCAAGGGCGCCCCCGAAACCATTATTGAACGGTGCTCGCACGTCTTGGTGGGGTCTCAGGGCAAGAAGATCTCGCTCAACAAGAAGCTCACCGATATGCTCCTGACTGAAGTGGTTGAATATGGTAACCGTGGCCTCCGCGTCATCGCTTTGGCCAGTGTTGACGATATTGGTTCTCATCCTCTCTTGAATACGGCTTCCTCGACTGCTCATTATGCTGAGATCGAACAAAACTTGACTTTTGTTGGTCTCGTTGGCATGTTGGATCCCCGCGCCCGGAAGTTGCTGGCTCGATTACCAAGTGTCGCGATGCTGGCATTCGTGTCATTGTTATCACCGGCGACAACCGAAACACCGCCGAAAGCATCTGCCGAAAGATTGGAGTCTTCGGTGACGTTGAGGATCTTCAAGGAAAGAGCTATACTGGTAAAGAATTTGACAACATGACCCCTCTGAGCAACTCGAGGCTGCCAAGACTGCCTCTCTCTTTCGCGTGTTGAACCTGGTCACAAGTCTAAGCTGGTCGACCTCCTTCAATCGCTCGGCGAAGTTGTGGCCATGACTGGTGATGGTGTTAATGATGCTCCTGCCTTGAAGAAGGCGGACATTGGTATCGCCATGGGCTCTGGTACCGACGTTTCGAAGCTCGCCGCCGACATGGTTCTTGCCGATGACAACTTTGCCACGATCGAGGTCGCCATCGAAGAGGGTCGTTCCATCTACAACAACACGCAGCAATTCATTCGCTACCTCATCTCTTCCAATATCGGAGAGGTCGTTTCCATCTTCCTGACTGCCGCCCTAGGCATGCCCGAGGCTTTGATTCCTGTCCAGCTCCTGTGGGTGAACCTTGTCACCGACGGTCTCCCGGCTACCGCTCTCTCGTTCAACCCTCCCGACCATGATATCATGCGCCGTCGACCCAGGCGTCGTGACGAGGCTCTTATCGGCGGCTGGCTTTTCTTCCGTTACCTTATTATTGGAACCTATGTCGGTCTCGCTACCGTGGCTGGCTACGCTTGGTGGTTCATGTACAACGAAGCTGGGCCTCAGATCACATTTTCGCAACTGTCTCGATTCCACCGCTGCTCAACCGAGTTCCCTGAGATCGGCTGCCAAATGTTCACCAATGATATGGCCAAGTCTGCCTCGACCGTGTCTCTCTCTATCCTTGTTGTCATCGAGATGTTCAACGCTATGAATGCGCTGTCATCTAGCGAATCTCTCTTGACCCTTCCTCTCTGGGAGAACATGATGCTAGTCTATGCCATTGTCCTTTCCATGGCTTTGCACTTTGCCCTTCTCTACACTCCCGGACTCCAGACCCTCTTCTCCATCCTACCTCTCGATCTCAATGAATGGAACGCTGTCGTACTCATCAGTGCTCCCGTCATGTAAGTTGAACCCCAGATTGCATGCACGTTGTGTCAAAGAACAATCACTAACAAACCAATGTAGTCTGATTGACGAGGTTCTCAAGTTCTTCGAGCGCCAGTTCTTCCTCCAGAAGACGACTGAAGAGCCCGTCTCCGTAAAGAAGACGAAATAAACAAGGCATTTAAAAGGAATGCTTAGGTGAGGATCCAAAATGACCTTTCTCCCATGTGAGAAAGCGATGCACAATCAAACGGATCAACAAAAAAAAAAAAGGAACAAAGAAAGAAGTAGAAGCCCGTAAAGTCGAACATGGTTGGCTGTGTAGATAAGCTGCGCAGAGGCTCTCTAGTCTCGGCACTCACATCTCGGGTTCATTCTTGCATCCTAGTCATACGATAGATGTATCATAGTTTCCCCCAGACTCTGTCACGGTGTTTCGGAGATAACAGGCGGCATTCTGCGAAGGAGCAACATATATATTTTTATTTTGATCATATCTTTTCCCTTTACTCACTTCATTTCCGTCCCTGTCAATGATGGCCTGTATTGCACGTTAAGACTCTGCCTTGATGGTGGGCCCAAGGGAAAGGTGCGGCTTGGCGAACCGCAAGCCTCTCAGACCAGATGTAGAAAGACGGGACTGGGATTACCAACATGTGGATGACAAAATAAATGTCTATTGATACATGGTATATGCTCTCAACCCACCGACGGTCCAGCGCGTATACGCGATAAAATGAAAAACACCCCCTTCCCCTTCGTCATAAGACGCCCGTCTAATCCTGCCTGCCCTTGAGTAACCTCTTCGTCACCTTGTCCTTCTCGATGATGTAGACGTGGGCACCCCAGCCAGAAAGCGCGTCACGGTCGACGGCGTTTAGCAGGGCCTGGGAAATGGTCTCGAAAAGCTCGTCCGGGCCCTAATTAAGGAGGTGGAGGTCATTAGAAAAGCAGTTCGTCTTTCATGTCAGACTCGACACTCGCGTAGATGTGCCAGGTAGAAATGCCGCGTTCACGATGGGGAAGAAGATAAACGTACCAGATCGGGCTCCCAGAGGTTCTCGCACATTCCAAACAGCTGCTCGGTCGCTGTTCCGGAAACGATAAAGTCCTTTGCGAAGTCGATACAGCCTATGCTGTCAAAGCCGCAGATGAATGGCTTCCCCGTCTTAGGATCGAGGCCGGCCACGACGGGGCTCACGAACCAAGGGCCGAATCGGCGCTCGTAGAGGCTGCTGCTGACGAGGTTGGCAAAGGTGGATGGCGCGATGTTGCGCTCCTCACGGAGGCGGTAGAGGTTGACTTTGTAGCGGAAGAGATCGGAGACGGATGACACGTCGGTGGCGAGACCGGTGAGACCGAGGAAAACATCTCCGTACTGGAAGATCTTGGGGAAGTTATTGGAGACAGTAAGAGCTTGGAGACCGAGGCGGAGATCGCAGGCGATGGCGACGCAGTCCTTGCCAACCATGGCCACGCAGGCACCACCGTCTATAGAATTGGGGGAAAGGTTAGATACGGAAAAGTCAATTAGAGAGAAGGGGCGAAGATCGGTCGCGATAACAACGTACTTATGGAGAAGGGGAAGCCTGGGGGTTGGGATAGAGGTTAGCTTCACAAGTCCGTGACGGTAGGAGGGTTTGGGGCGGGAAGGAAGGGGAGCTGATACCATCTTGGCTTCGACCTAAATATCAATCGAGAGATTTGGCAAGGGTACGGTGAAGATGGGTGTATTCGCCGGGAAGGACGGCTTGCAAAGCAGTCGGGTCGATAGAATGAAGCTTGGGTCGGTGGGTTGAAGATGGGGTTGGGGATGAGTTGCTTGGAGCTGGGCTGGTTGCTTAGCTATCACCGCCAGGCTGGAAACCACTGAGGACGTGCTATGCAAGGCAAACACCGTCTGGCGTGGCCAGCTCGGGGCGGAAAAACATGACCGGAGCTTGGCGGTTTCTGATTGGCCCAAGCTTGATTTCAACGCTCCTCAGGACCCCACGCCACACCAGGAGGCAGCTTCGGTGACGCCAAGGTACTCAGATACCTTTCTCCACGCCTATAATTGGTGGCTGGTGGGGTCTCTAGGACTTTCCTCTGTTACCTCTGCCCCGCCGTGGCTTTGGCCCTTGGCCCTCTTCCTTCAAGGGACAACGACTCTTGACACTACAGGCAAACTAAACTCGAGTCGCCTCCGGTTTATCCATAGTCCATCGTCGTCTTTTTGATTCCTCGCTCGTCGACTTATAAATCATAATACGTGGTCAAAAACCCACCCTCGGCGCACCGCACAGCACCCGTACCTGGGCCTCCCTGGGGACCGCTCCCCTCTATACCGAGCCACGAAACTTGAGTCTAGGCACCCCATATAGATCCATACCTACCTAGCTTTATGCCCTGTTCTTGAACCGATTTCTGCGAGGCTCCAACTCCTTATTCCACCGTCAGATCCCCGTGTGTGCGCAATCCAGACTCTGGACGCACCGCCAATATGGCTTCCCACGTTGTAGTCATGTCGTCCTCGGCGAGGTCGACCAAAGTCAAGGTCACGCCGGGAACATACATGTCAGACGTGCTTTCCCAGGCTTGTCAATCTCTGAACGTGTCGGGAAATTTCATCTTAAAGTGAGTTATTATATGGTTGTCGCTTTTTTGTGTGAGGGCTTTCTTTTTTTTTTTTTTTTTAGGTGGGTGAGGTGTCCCTAACCGCATGCCTCTTCACAGACACAAACAAAGAACAGTCGACCTTTCCGTGCCCTTCCGCATTGCCGGTCTACCAGGCGGCGCGAAGCTCGACCTCGTCGTCCAGTCCAAGTCACCAGCCCCAGTCACCGTAGCCATCGCCATACCTCAACCCGAGGGAACCGCTTTCCCGAATGGCCGCCTTGGAGGAAAATACCCTAGTAGTTTCACGATATGGCAGGTCCTTCGACAGATCGAGTCGCTCCCCGAAGCTATAAACGCAAAGCTCAATATTACGGCGCGCGGGGTGGCCTCCACAAGCAGTGGCCGACCCAGCGGGAGCGGTCAGCTGCTGTACGAGCAACCGGCGCTCAACATCATGGGGAGGGAGCTGAATAGCTTTCAAGATTTCCAAAAGACGCTCTCGCAGCTAGGATATAATTCAGGCAGCGTTCTCATACGTCTGTCGTATAAGACGACGGGGATGACTTTCTTCGAAGCCCAGCAGCAAATGGCTGAATACTTCAAGGACCTGGAGGCATCCTCGTCGGCGAACACGACAGCGTCGACGGCAGACGTGGAGCTACCTGATGCGCCAGCTGTCGTGGAAAGTGCGCCTACGAAAAGTGCTGAAGAAGCCTCTCTTCCTGCCCAAGTGCCGGTGGCTTCCGATGTCACGGCGCTGCTTGCGAACGCGCCCGCTGCCGAGCCTCAGGGCAGGATAACAAGTGTTCCGGCCCTTCCTGACAACCCTCTCCAACCTGTCCACATCTACGCAGCGCCGGCATCCTCCACTCCGGCGGCAGCCCTCGCACAAATCAACGAAGCTGACTTTGCCCCTTCCATCGTGCATGCGCAGATGCACCAAGCCCGACTCAAGGAGGGCGGAAAGAATAAGCGCCTTCTTTCCGACAAAGAGCTCGAGGAACAGGCGGCGGCAGCGGAGGCCAAGTTCGCGGCCGTCCAGTCCATCGAGGTCAAGGTTCGCTTCCCGGATAACACGTCAGCCAGCTGGGTCATCACAAAGGACGACACGGGCGCCAAGATTTACAAGGCCGTCCGCACCGTCATGGCAGACAACTCGCTCCCATTCAGGCTCTCTATACCCGGCAGTCGAGAGATCATCCGCGACGAGGACGGTCCTCAAAACCAAGTCATGAAGGCGCATAAGCTCACCGGCAGCGTCGTCGTCAACCTGCTCTGGGACGATGGCGTGGCTCCTGCCGCGCGCCAGCGGCCTTTCCTTAAATCTAGTGCCGCTCAGGCTGCCCAGCAGATCGTGGTTCCGGACCTGCCCGCAGCGCCGGAGGAGGAGGAGGAAGACAAGACGTCTGCGTTTAAGCAGACCCGCACCAAGATCATGTCCGACGTAGGGAAGCAGAGCGACGAGGCGATGAAGAAGATTGGCAAGTTTTTCAAGCTGCCGGGCAAGAAGTGAGAGAGCAGGCAGTTAGGAGGGCTGTAAGTAGTCTAGAGAAGTACGCCTAGATAGTCTCACTCCTTGCTTGGTGTTTTTTTCATTACGGCACTGGTTGTCATGTCCATCTATGTCAGGTGGCGTTCTGCGGAGTCTACATTTTGCAGGGTAAAGAAGGGAGCATGGGAGCGTCCAGAGGCCTCTATTTCGGGGTTGGAATTCAAATCACAAGAAAAGGCCCGGTCTTCAAGAGTAAGAGTGCCAAAGAATACCTTCACTATTCGTGATACATGAGCCATGAAACGCCGATAGAGGTCCGTTTAAGCCCAAAAAGACAAAGACTGAAGTTGTCAAAGGAACTATATTCCACGGTACTTTTATGCTTTCATGAGGGGCATTCGTCCAGATCGTATGCAGCCCTATCCGAGGCTGATGCAAAGACAAGTTTCCTGTACACCCTCTTCGCCACGTTCAAGTTTCATCCGCTGCCCTTTTCCCCAGTGCTCTTACGACTTTCTCCCAACCTCGAGGAAAGGATGTATTTAGTGGCCAGCACGGCGGGACTCGGCGATGACTCGCTGGAGCTCGTCGACCTTCTTCTTGGCACGGCCGAAAGTTCCGAGCTAGATAGGAAGCACTTGTTAGACAACATGTCCTGCGTGCGTTCAAGGTTCAGAGATATGAATAATGGAGGTTCTCTTACCCGCTTCTTCGCGAGCTTCCTGGCGCGCTTGTCCCTGGAGTTACGGAGGAGTTCGATAACACGGCGCTCGTAGGGGGCGAGGCTAGAGAAGTAAAGTGGTTAGCAAAATTGTGTAAAGTCCGCTGATAACAGGAGACGCCGATGTGCTTGCTTCAACAGTAACCAAAGCCTAGAGGTAATCTCGTGCGAGCCTATGGCCGCTGGGAGAAAGCCCCCAGGACTTGGTACCGTTTGGTGCAAGTTTCCACGCAACACCCCTCCCCTCCCCAAATTACAAGGCAGAAAAATGGACATGTGCTTACCCAGCAACCTCCTTGACGACCTCACGGACGAAAGCGGTGCGCTTGCTCAAGTGACCCTTGGTCCTGGAGACACGAGCCTTGGCGACACGAGGAGTGGTCTTCTATATCCATTGGAAAAAATCGATGTCAGTGTCCATCGTCTGCGTAGCTTCCTCGTTTCAAGGGCAAAGGAGAGCGCAGAGATCCTCCACGAGGTGAGACTGTGACAAACGTACGTGGCCGTTGTTGATGCCGACGGCAATGCCGCTTCGGGGGCAGATTCCTTCGCCATTGTTGCTGGTTGTCGACGAATTTGGCGAGTCGAGTTTGGTGATGGTTGGAAATTCCGTGGAGGCTGCAAAAAATTGCGATAAAAGTTTGTGGGCTCGGCGGGATTGTGGATGGGGGTTGTATTAGGTAATCGGGTATTGGTATCATTTCTCCACTCTTTCATCCCGCACTGCTGCAACTGGGGCTTGGGGGAAAAAAAGCCACCGGATTTTGGTTTGAATGTGTGGCTAGTGATACCACTTGCCACACAGTGTGTAGTCGACAGGGTCTCCCATGGATGCACTACCTTTGTCGATGTCCCTAGCCCTTCACCTGCTCCTAAAACTCACGGCGCCCCAACCGCACGAGTCTTGATCACCTCAGTTACATCAGCGCATTTAATGGAAGACGTGATCGTATCGCCGCAAGACTATGTATATGGGGAGAAAAGGTGGCCGCAGCAAGCGAAAGAGTGCGGACACCTTGCGGAAACATTTTCGGTGAGGGCACTCCGCCGGATCATCTAAGCCGCATGGAAGAATAGAAGTATGCGATCCTACGAAGTACGAGGACGGCCAAAGCTACCGGCGGGCTGCGCATCGGAGGGAATGGGCTGTACTATTGTTGGCTTGAAGACGGACTCGGGGGCCGGTGGGGTCAATACTAAATCACTCTCTCGACTCCCTCGACGAGCTGAGTTGTTTGTTTGAGAGCTGGGCGAGCAGCTCGGATGCATACCTTGACATCTACGAGCTGTAAAGACACAAGACACAGGTGCCGTGCCCCAAACTCCATCTAATCCCACGAGAGCAATGCACTGGATAAGCCAAACGTTTATCCGGGATATGATTATTTGACGGAAGCCAGTCGAAGACCAGCCAGAAGCATATTGCTCGTCTTCTTCAAACACTGTATGATATCTAAGATGAAACATGAAATCCTAGCCGCCAATCACCAACTGACTTTCAGAGGGGCACGGCCAACGAAACAAGGGAGAAGTCTTCTCCAATATGATTAGGAGCCAATAATCAAAATATCTCCGAGATCGTGAATGCGCGACGCTTTCCAAGCCCGCTTCCGCAGTCCAGTTCCGCAGCACACTTCAGCTATAGGTATCAACGACGGCGCTGCACACTGACTGGCGGTACTGCCCTAGCTAGTTGATCCTCCTCCCACTTCTCCCGCTCATCCACAAATTTGATCGACGGATCAGAGTACAGGGCCACGCTGCCCCATCGAGGCAACATGTTCTAACCAAAATTCGACCGACTGGTCGCCGTGGCGCTGCGCCGCGTCTTCCTCCCAACGCTGTGGGACTGCTCAGTGGCCTTAACCTCCCTTGCCTCCCTAGTGGCTAGTTGGTCGGCTGGCAGGAATAATATCCCGCGGGCTCCCGCTGGTGTCACCGTGTCTCTGAGGCGGCCATGCACGTTAGACCGACAACCTTGAACGCTGCTAGTCGATCAATTGATGTAGTGTACATGCAGATGCCGTCCCTCGCTCCCTCGGCTGTCCCTCCCTCCACACCCAATTGCTTTTAAACGATCTGCAGTAATATAATAAACAAAGTAGTCGAATACGAAGCGCCGACAGCTTTGTTTCTGGGTCCCACTGAACGGGCCCATGACCGACCATGACTCCCTTTACCAAGCCTATGGGTGTCCTACTTGTACTTGCCCGTCGGTACGGGGACTTGGGGGGACAGTGGGTGGTGCCACCCTTCGTGGGAACCAGCCCGGTTTCCAGACGTAGAGGACGCGGGTGTCGCTCATCTCCGCCCAAGTACATTGTATTACATCGACACCCTTCGAGGCGTCTAAAGTTCCTTGGAAGAAGGAGGGGCGCTGACGACGTGTGCTGGCTTTTGGCTTTCTTCCTTCTTCGACTTGGGGCGTGTTTCTTCGGGTCTTCCGTTTGCGTTTGGCCCACGAAATACGTATGTGTTTGTCCGTCTGCCTCAAAGGTCTTGGATATGATGAATATCCATATATAGATATATAAAGTGTGCATCTCTCCCACTCCTCCCTTGGGGTCGCCACCTTTTGGATCTTCAGGTCCCTTCCAACCTTTTCCAACCTTTTCCTCCAATAATATACGAACAACTGCAGTTCTAAGCTCCTCCCAATTTCTTAATCATTTGATACCCCTTTCACCCCCGACTTATCCACCATGAGGCTCGACACTCTGTATCTCTCCGTGCTTGGCTTGGCCACCGTCACCCTCGCCAGGAACATCCCTAGGGACGTGCTCGTGAGGCAAGCCAGCGGCTGCAGCATCTCAAACCAGCTTCCATCCGAATTCGCCATTCGCAGCTTTGCCGGCCAATCCACAAATGGCGGCGAAACTCTCTCGTCCTTCGACTTTGGCTATCTGGAAACGAAAAACAACATCACCACCCACTGCTATTTCAACTCAACCTCCCCCAATGCAGGCCCCACCGATCGCACGCCTCGTTTTGCGTGCGAGAATGCGATTACCCAGTTCATCTACCAAGATCAGAGACTTACCTTGATCCAGGCCATCTGCCCTGATACAAATGGGTAAGTGGCTTCGGGTGGTTTTTTGCCTTCCACCGACATTTTTGCCCTTCTCTCGTGACGAGACTGGGCATGCCCTCTCCCCTCTTCGGCGGGTTTTTACTCAATGCCGATGCTGACCTTGCCTTTCCTTCTAGTGTTGCTTCCGTTGAAGCCGCCGGCGCCGCTGATGTCGAGCTCGAGTGTGGCAGCTCCAATACCACCGCCAACGCAGCAGAGAGCTGCAAATCCAAGGATGAAGAGTTTTCTGGAAAGTTCTCCAGCTTAAATCCTACACCGGCCAGTCTTGACCGAGCTCGAGGGGCGAGACTGCATAATGGGCGAATGTTTTTTTCTTCTTTTCTTTGCACGAATAATGGAATGATACAAGGCAAACTTTTTAGACGGTGGGCACATCACGTACTGTTGAGATTCATACATACAAGCGGATCGGTCAACTATCATGATACGGTAATAGGGACGGTTTCAATCACGCATATCGGGTATGCGGTGGTCGGATTATAGGGTGGGGAGGCGTCTTGCCAGGCTTTTGTTCGTTAGAATACTCGGACGGTACCTCGGTATCAACTACTACAATAATACAGACACCCATGATATCATCTGCGAGGGTTCTAGGCCGTAAATAGAGGCTCAGAGGTGGATCGCGCACTCGCCTCAATCCTGACAGGTCCGAGATCGCCGTTGCGCGGGGAACCGGGGGCGATGGTTCCGGACTAAGAGCTCGTCAGTGGTAGAGATCGCTGCAATCAACTGCGTCTGGCGCAGATGAACTCTGGATGTCTCACGCAGGTCTCGTATCCTAGTGACTAAGTCCTGCTTTCATTCACACACCAACTCCAACATCTCGGCACGAGCAACTGAACCGTGAGGCTACATAGAGCTGAAAGGATGAGCCGATCGTAGTGGGGCTTCGACATTCCATCATTGCTTGGTATTTGTGGTGCACAATATTTCGTAGTGGGTGCCACTGTCACCAAAAGTGAGGAGAGGTTGCTCGACGACTCATTTGGTTACTTTTTCTTATAACAAAATACCGGGCTTCATCTTCCGAAGCTATACTTGGATGAAATCTACCGCTGCTGGGGTAAAGAAAAATAGCTGCCAGGACGGCCATGTTAGACGGGGATCCAGCTGCGATTATCTGACTTTTCGCCAACGGATGGATGCTATGGAGATTATAAGACTATCGTCGCTGGCCGCGTTCGGAGATGAGCCTCGGGAAAACTAAGGGAATGAAAGACGATGATTATGGGGGAAGGATGCCAAGAAATAACTGAAAGTGCTACTCGTGGCACCGCAGATGGATGTCTGAAATGGCTGCTATCGGTGAACAAGGATGCGCGAAGAACCCTGCCTGCGGGCCGTGACATCGGACGCTTCGGAGGAAGACTCGGAAGCTAAGAACTGCTGTGGTTGGCACACACTGTAGCTGCCAGCCAGGTGCAGTGCCGTGCCGGGGCTTTCGCAGCAATCACGTGATTGTACAATGAACCTTCTGCCGCTGGCCCTGAGCTGGGTGGCTCAACGAACTGGCAATGGCACCATTTTCATTGGTCACTCGTACCCCAGATTCCATTGTCTTGGCAGGTGTGCATGTGACCTCATGGCAGAGATCAACATTTCAGCTCACGAACTTGACTCTCTCACTTCAACATCAATCGGTTTCGACGGGTGACTTAAGAATCTCATGGGCGACATGGCATAATGGCCATGTGGCTTCTCTTTATTTCCTGCCACGAGCAACCGTATATAACTTAGCGCACGCGAATTCCATCACATCTTCTTACGAAACACAATCCTAGCTCGCTGCTCGGCGCAAGGCAAATCCCGCTCAATATGATTCGACTCGCCACCAACTTGGACTCATAATTTGTTGCGTATCGCCGCTCTTCAAACCGTACAAACCACTTCATTTCCTCCCTTGCACCAAAATGAGGCTCTCTACTTGGGCAATACCGCTACTCGGCCTGCAAGCGCTGGCGCTGGCCGAGCCGCTCCTCAAAGACAACAATCACCACAACCCCGGGCAGATGTCGGTGGGACCGGGGGCGGCGAAGCAATTCCGATCGAGCTTTTCGCCTCTCTCGAGCGCATGTCCCGCCTCGTTGACATTGCCTACTGCGTGGGAACATCGGGCGTATCGAAGCCCTTTTCATGCGTTTCCCGCTGCAAGGATTTCCCCTCCCTCACCCTCGTCAATACTTTCAGCACGGGCATTCTTTTGGGCGATAGTTGTGGCTACATTGCAGTAGATCATGGCTTCCCACGTCCAGATTCCAGGAACGGGGGCGACCGTGGAGAAAAGGCCATCATCTTAGCCTTCCGGGGCACGTATAGCATCTCGAACACCGTGATTGACCTCAGCACGGTCCCGCAGGAATACGTTCCCTACCCTCGCCAGACGAGCCCAAGCATAGGTGCACAAACTGTACTGTGCACATGGGGTTCCTCTCCTCTTGGAAGAATGCCCGGAAGGACATTCTTCCAGTCATGCAGCTGCTGCGAGAGAAGCACCCAGATTACCCTGTTTACATCCTGGGGCATAGCCTAGGAGGCGCCGTGGCTGCCTTGGCGGCTTTGGAGTTCAAGGCATCGCTTCAGTGGGACGATGTCGTTGTCACGACCTTTGGCGAGCCACGGGTTGGCAACAAGGGCCTCGCCCAATTCATCAACGACGTCTTCGACCTCGAGTCTGACGTCGAGCCTCAGCTTCGGACCTACCGGCGTGTCACCCATGCGGACGATCCTGTGCCGCTCTTACCGCTATCAGAATGGGGATACCGCCCCCACTCTGGCGAAATATTCATCAAGAAGCCAAGCCTTCCGCCGGCACCGGAGGACCTGGTTCTCTGCGTTGGAGACGACGATGTTCGATGCATCGACGATTCCGGCGACCCCGACGAAGAGAGCGGCAGTGTCTGGTGGAGCAGAATTCGCTTCCCGGCGCGGCTCAAGGTTTGGGAGCTACTTTTGGCCACCGCGATTACTTTTGGAGATTGGGCCTGTGTGTTCCTGGCGGTGACCCGAGAGATTGGGGAAGGGAAAAGTACAAAACAGACGAATCGAAATCTGATGAATTATAGTTTTAATTACGCATGATGAAGAAATGGATAGGCTCGGAGGGTTCAGTCCCCAAGGTGTGGATTATGCATGGCGCCCTTCTTTTTTCTTTTCCTTTTTTCTTTTTTTTTTTACCCTTTCTTGTTTACGCTAGGGAACACAGGACAGGAGTGCGGTATTCATCCAGATTGCATTGATAGCGTTGATAGGATGTCTAGCATTACAATAACAGCCTTGATCTTCTTCTTGAATATTTGGGATCGAGGATGGCAATCCTCTGGCTCCTATCGTTCCTTGCTGATCCTCCCACTTCATACCTTTGGCCTATCTCCGACAACTATAGCAATGCGGCTGTTAGTGGTGCGGTCTCCACCTCGGCTTTGCCTACATCATGTAGCATCACATCATCTAGCATGCTGGCGCGAGACCACAGGGCCGACGTCACATGCTTTCCGTCTCTCATTTTCCATTCGGGCGCAGGGCGACGTCAGGCCAAACTGCGCAGCATTCACCTTTGGGCGTTGCCCCTCCTTGTTTCTGAATGACATGTGGGCGGTGCCCCCATCCCCGCGGCCCGTCAGAGAGCCGCCGTTTGGGGAGGCAGGGGCTTGAGTTGGCATCCCGACCTTGGGCTTCCTTGGCAAGCAACAATGGACTTTTCCGCCCTGAAGTATTTTAGTCCCAAGTTAGTAGCAATAAGGCGGCGGCGGGTGGGTGTCTTTTTTTTTTTTTTTTTTTTTCTTTTACGTTTCCAGCGTTTCCTAGAGGGTGACACCGAAAGGAACAAACCAAACACGCGGGCAGATGTGCCTTGCACATTTGGTTGGCTACCCGATGCCAGGGCTGCTGTGCGTGCACGCGAGAATCACGGCTCCCCCGAGGCGGTAGGGCGGCCAACCTTGCAGCTTCTTTTAGGCCTCCCATTTCTAGGCAGAACAGCCGCGTCTTTGTTTTAGAGGAGATTGATGATTAGGAGCTGAGTTGCGTGTTGATCCAGTGTGCAATCTAGTTGCACCTAGGGGCTCTCATTTCTTTACTTCGGTGTTCGCCAGAAGCGAACGGACGAAGCCTTGAGCAGGGCGACGGAAGAGCTGAGAGTTCTCAAGGAGTGTATAACACCAAGTCTAAAGGCTAATACGAGGACTACAAGGCGGCCAAGCGTGAGAGGTACCGAGACAGTAGGTGGATTCGGCGTGCTCTTACACAACGCTTTGCGCGTGGCCGGGGATTCGGATAATTCCAAGGACAACAAGGCGGTACGGCTTGTCACAAATAAAGTTAGGGTTCTTGCACTGCCTCTCTCTATTTTACAGTATTGTTGGTTTGTAAAGGCGGAGAGCGTCATTACTCCCCTCTTCTTCGTCTTCTTCTCCTTCTCCCTCTCTCTCTCTCCCTTCAGCCTACAGGTTTGGGTTTTGTGTGTCTTTCTCTTTCATCCGTCTAGACGAGCGGGGTGTTGAGGGGGAGGGGGTCGAAGACGAATCATTCTCCGAAGCCACTTGGGGCAAAGACGGAGATGGGGGCTGTCTGAGGTCGAGGCGTGACCAGTCATGGGCATGGCGAGCAAGGAGAAACGAAATGGAACTTGCGTCACATTCTCCTTATCCAAAAGCTGGATTCAAGCAGTGGATGCCAGGGCAAGTGTGCGTGAGGGAAACCAGGAGGGGGAGGGAGGTTGACCCGTCGCTGGATGGTGAGTGGTCAGACTCGTTTTCCAGGATAAGGCTGGGTCTGACGGAAGAGGCAAATTGTATGGTGCCAACAAAAAATGGACGGGAAGATTTTGGTCACAACTGGACCAGGGGAACGGGAGGGGAGATGAAAAGGAAAATACTGTGTGGGTTCATGGAATTGAATGGAATCACGGTTTCGGCTTCCTGGCCTTGATCCTCTGCTTGTGCGGCCCCGCGGCGGCGCTTGGGTGAAGGGTTCGGTCATTGGGGACCAGCTTGTCAAGGCCCAACCCTGACCATCCAAAGTACATGGTACGGGGTACGGGTTACGGGGTGGGTGCGTCTCGTCTGGTCTCTTGCTGCAACGGAGCCAACGGAGCCAACGGAGCTCATGTTCTTCGCACCATGGCGGAGAGAGGGGAGAGCACCGCTCAAACTTCCGCGGTCTGGTACACTACACTAGGGGACAGACATCGAAAGACAGGGGCCATCTTCCCATCCCCTAATAGACCCTGGTGGGTTTTCTCTTGGAATGGATTCAACAACGGGGCTATTTTGTTGTTGGAAATTTCCCTCGCCCGGGGGTTGCCCATTTTATTCTCCACTCCAAAGAGTTGAAATGGCTTAGCCTTTCCGGGGAGAGAAAAGGGTGCTGGATCAACCTCAAATTTCTCTTGGGGGTTTGGATGGTAATAATGATCATAATCTGAGGGGAAGGAGGCTCCGACCGACAACGAAGCATTGACGTCGCTTGAAGAGCTAAACAGGCCGAAAGGGGGATCAAGTCGCCCGTTTCAAAGACAGGGTGGGCCGTCCGTTTTATCAATAAGATTGAAGCCATCTGAACTTGAAAGGTTGAGCGGCTTGAACCGGTTTCCGTTCACCCTCATGGCCCCATGTTGCCTACCCTCTGATCCCGTCTTGTCCGTCTACCAGCAAAAACCCACCGTTCACGTGGAGGACCGGCGATGTACCTGATACCTCAGCTCACAGCCCTTGCCCGCCCCCAGCAACCCAAACTCACGATAGTGCCCGTGACTCCGTCCATTCCTGAGCCATAGAGCCTTCTCGTTCTCTAGTCTTACAGCGGGTACCCTCACCAGAAAAACAACCCCCGCCCGCTGCAGTGTCCAACCATCAGAGAGACAGGCGGGCAGGTGCACCACGACAGTATGATTCTTTTGACCCTTTTGTTTTCACACGACTGGCTCACGCCTTTCCTTTCTTCCTTTTTTTTTTTTTTTTTTTTTTGGCTGTGCTAAGCTGGTACAACTTGGAGGTAGAGGGTACGGAATAGGAGGTGAAGGGGGCGCGAAACGGGCATGTACCTGAACCAGCGCTCAGTTACAACGAAGGGCAGGCGCAATCACTAGGATGGCACAATGCGTCCGTCCACCAAAGGGCTGGTGAATCCCGTTTTCAGGCTGCCGCTATCGTTCGAAGCCTATGCCCTGCCAGCCGTAATGTTGGCAAAGCACTTTGGGAGGGGAAAGGCGAGCCCCGTTTTTGCAGTGGCAGTGGGCGGGCTCAGCCATCAATCACCTTCGCTCACTCTGTCCAAACACCTCCACCTGTGTTTTCGACCTCGCGACTTCAAAACCTTTCCACATTGATCTATCTCTCCCCAAAACGTAAACACTTCCCCTTTGATCCCTTCCTCTCCCTCTCTCTCTATCTCTGTGAGAAAAACCACATCCTTCACCCACACAACCAATTAATCCCTCCTCTTTTTCCTTGCAAAGTTCTTTCTTCTTTTTTTCCCTTCTATTCTTCCTCCTTTGTCAAGCAGGTCTCACTTGCCAGTCTTTTTTCCTTAACACTCCACCCCTCTTCTAAAAACCCCACCGCCAGCCGAAATCATCACCATCATGACTTCTGAGGTAAGTCATATTGACACTCCAAGCTTCACATCAGTTCCTCTAGCCTCTAGTTTCTGGATTCCATCCTTTCATAGCTAGCCTTCCCCTTTATACCCTTTCTCTCCTATCTTCCGACCCAGCCCACCACTAGCACCTCCCCGCCCGCCGCCCTCGCCTTTTTACCCTTACCCACCAGTTTTCTTCCCCAAAGTCGTTCAAAGCCCCATGCTAACTCCTCCCTCTCCATGCAGCGTGAAAAGTGAGTTCCAAGACCAACTTCAGGCGGCCGGCCTCTGAATAATGGCTCGATCCTGGCCAATCGCTGACAGCTCCCTACAGCAAGACTTTCCTCGCCCGCCTTTGCGAGCAGGCCGAGCGTTACGATGAGATGGTCACCTACATGAAGGAGGTTGCCAAGCTCGGCAGCGAGCTTACCGTCGATGAGCGCAACCTCCTCAGCGTCGCCTATAAGAACGTTGTCGGCACCCGCCGTGCCTCGTGGCGCATCATCTCCTCTATTGAGCAGAAGGAGGAGTCCAAGGGCTCTGACAAGCACGTCCCTACCATCCGGGACTACCGCAACAAGATCGAGGAGGAGCTCGAGAAGGTTTGCCAGGATGTCCTCGATGTCCTCGACCAGCACCTTATCCCCCAGGCCGCTAGCGGCGAGTCCAAGGTCTTCTATCACAAGATGTAAGTGTGCTCTCCATCGCTTCCCCTTTTGGGGATGGAAGTCTCCCCCTTTTTTTTTTCTCTCTCGTCGCACGCAGAGGTTGCCCAAGCCTCGCCCGCCTAAGCGTACGGCGCTTTCACGTCCCCACCGCCAAGTATAAGACAACGAAACAATAGAGAGAGCCGTTATTGATTTACTTTTTTCCCCTAAACAATAGGAAGGGTGACTACCACCGATACCTCGCCGAGTTTGCCTCGGGCGAGAAGCGCAAGGTCGCTGCCACTGCTGCCCACGAGGCCTACAAGGTAAGACAGAACCCCCACCTCCCCCTTCGACCCCGCGCGAGTGACGAGTTTTCCCCTGTTGTTGTTGAAAATATTGGGTGTCACCTTATTTTGCTGCGTGCGTGATTGAATGGTTTGATGACTAACATGCGACTCGTCCTTGCCTTGCAGAGCGCCACCGATGTTGCCCAGACTGAGCTCACCCCCACTCACCCCATCCGTCTCGGCCTTGCGCTAAACTTCTCGGTCTTCTACTACGAGATTCTCAACTCCCCGACCGTGCTTGCCACCTCGCCAAGCAGGCCTTTGATGATGCTATTGCCGAGCTCGACTCCCTCTCTGAGGAATCGTACCGCGACAGCACTCTCATCATGCAGCTCCTCCGTGACAACCTTACTCTCTGGACGTCTTCCGAGAGCGGCGACGCCGAGGGTGCCAACGCCCCGCCGAGGGTGCCAGGCCCGCCGCTGAGGGCGAGCCCGCGAAGGCCGAGGAGGAGCCCAAGCCCGAAGAGCCCGCCGCTGCCGCCTCCTAATCCTCTCCTCCACCGACGTCGATATCCCACATTGCAACAGTGATGTTGAATGAATGAATTGATCTGCCCCCTTTTTCCTTTTCTTTTTTGTTTTAACTCATCTGAGCCATTTGTTCTCGATGTAAGCCGGACCTGCTTTTGAAAGGCGGGGGCGCCACTGGAGACATGGTCAATGGGACGATTATGTTGTGCAAAGTTCCCTCGGAGGACAATTGTTGGCTTCGTCACTGTTTTGTTGTTTTTATCCTTTTCTCGCCGTTTCTCCTTTTTTTCTAGTTATCTTTTCACCCGAATGTTTTTCACCTCCCAGTTTTCTTTACGAAATCGCCAGGGTAACGGGGAATGATGGATTGCAGAATCGATCAAGCTGATGTGCCACCGGACATATTGAGGGGAGAATAAAGAGGACAGGAAAGAGGGATGAGAAGACCATTGAGGGATGTGGTGCGAGGGTTTCTCGAGAACCATGCGCATAGCCTTAGTCTTGACCTCTTTTTTGTTTTTTATTCTATCCTACTCACTCACTCACATTGTATACCCCTCGCGGGTGCAGTCTTTCTGGTGCTTGATCCCGTACATGTATTTCCTCAGACGCGGTGTAGTGACCAGGCCGTGGCGCATGAGTCCGTATGGCTCCGCCCACGTCTTAAATCTGTAGATTGGATACTCTCAATAGAGCTACCTATCCGTTGAACCAGGGTTGGGTTGTTTTATGAGATTGCCCACTTTTGCCGACCAACTCAGCCCTACTTCTAACCCAAGATCCGTTCAAACCGCCAGACGATCAGCAGGCTTGGACTTGGTGTCCTTCAACTCCATCACCCCCACATTCCTCCGCCACGCCTGTTGGGCCCTTTCTCTCTGACCCCTATGTGAGAATTCGTCACAAAGTTGGTGGAGGAGTAGACAGAGTAGGATGTGGGTAGATGGATTGCAGAGTTCCATTATTGATATATATATAGAGATATCACTCGGAGAAATCCCCTTCATCTGACGTAGAAACTGAGAGGACCTGTATCGTTGGCCACAGCAAAGAAGATTAGGGCTTAATGGAAAGATTTGAGGCTGAAATCCGATGATAGCACCAAGGCGGACTGACTCCGCTACCATACTATATACATGTACACTATGCACTTTGCACGTTACAGAAGAGAGCGTAGACCCCCACCCTAACCAAACAAAAGAAGAAAAAAGGAAATGATTAGATGGCCTCTATGACGGGTTGGCTAAATATGCTATATGTATATATATATATATATAGATCCGGCGTCGCGTTGGAAGAGGGGGAGCCTTGAATTTCAACAATTTCGAAATCTTACACAGGACGTTTACGCAGCCTCGAGCTAGACACTCATGACGCGGCCCCGCTCATGCGGAGAAAAATCCGAGGACCACCCACCATCTCTCTTTCCCTTGTCTCCCGTAGTCTCCTTTGGGCTTCCAATAGCTCTTGCGCCCTTTCTAGGCGGGCGGCGCGGCGATTCTGCGCCTTGGTAACGGGATCCTCTTCGCCCGAGGCACTCGTAAGCTCGGCATCAGCCTCAGCGAGCGGCGCGGGCGCGGGGGCGATTCGCGTGCGTTGGTGTGGCGGGGGCTCGGGGGATCCGTCGTAAGATCCGAGTACATGGCTGTGCGTTCAATCTCATGAGTTTGGGACGTGCTGTGGCCCTGGGAGTGGGAGAGGCCGAGGCTGTCCCGGGAAGAGACGGAGCGTACTCCCCGACTTATCCGGCGGGTGAGTTTCTTGAGGCCGGTAAGAAAAGCGGGGTGTCTGGAGGAAGGCCGGTGGTGGTGCTTGCTGCTGCTGCCGGACAGCGAGGCGGGCGGCGATGGAGGCAAGAAGGCGAGGGGCGGCATTGCGGTAGTAGACGAAGAGGAGGCGGAGGAAGGCGGGGCCTGGGATGTGGAGGATCGGACGGACGTGGCGCGGATGACCTCGTCGAGCCAAATCTCGATGCGGGCATTTCGAGCGTGGACTACCGCGGGAGAGGGATGCGCGTACGGCAACGCGGAGGGGAAGGGATGTCCGGGGGCTGAGGGGAAGGGGAGGGGCCGGCCTCGAGGGACTGGGCGGGCCATCGGTCTCTGGGGCCGGCGCCGAGAGGAACGCCGAGAGGGACGCCGTTATTGGTGAGGGGAGTCATATGCGGCGAAGATCTTAGAGTGGGAGGAAGGCGTAAAGGAGGGAGCCGGGTTGATGCTGCGGCGGCAGCCATGACGACGGGGAGTTCTTTTGCTTGCGACTTTTGGTGTCTTTCGTCCTCTCTCTTCCTCTCTCTTTATTTATTTTTAATTATTTATTTTGCTCTATTCCTTGAGCTCGTCTTCTTGACCGAGAGAGGTCTTCTAAAGCTCTGACCAAGCGGGTGTGGCCGAAAGGATCTCTACTCGGCTGGATCGAGCAACGAGATAAGGGCGATAGCGACGATAAAGATGTTAATGCGTGTGGTTCGGCCAAAGTGGCGAACGGGTTCGGTACATGAGCGAAGACTTTTGGGACCCCGCGAGTTGTGTCAGAAAACTCCCCGGGTCGAGGGGTGGTTCACAAGGCCAGAAGAGAGAGAGAATACGAAGTTGAAAGACACGGGACCGAGGGAGGTGGAGGAAATCGAAGCAAAAGAGGTCGGAAAAGGGAATAGAGGCCAAAGGGAAGAGTGGATACATATGCTGGCTAGATGTAGAGGGTGCAAGTGCGGATGGGATGCATTATGTTGTAATGACCGCCGTGTGCATGGAATGGGTCCATTGTATGACTTGTATGATGAAGGGGCCCGTAGGCGGAGATCGGGAGCTAAATGAGCCAAGTAGATTGATCTATGGATGCTTCACAGGTGCGTGGAAAGCTTAAAAAGGAAGAGGGCTAAAACACGGCCATTCTCTGTCGGCGTCTTTTTCGCTGGTTTCTTTTTTTTTTTTTCCTTCTCTATCTTTTTCCTCCCTTATTCTTCCCTGGTCTCTTGGATTTGTGTGTAAGACGACATCTTCTATTCTTTCGTTTTTCTTTACCCACTATTCTCTCTCTCATGCGCTGCCCAGATCGCGATTACACCACCACCACCACCACCACCACCACCACCACCACCACCACCACCACCAGCCCCCTCCCTCTCGTCAAGCGAACTCTATTCTTGGCGTGCGCTTGATTGCCGTTTAGAACAACTGAGCAGTCACTGGGGTTTCCCTCTTTGGGGTCTCTACCAATGAACTAAAAACTAAAAAGAACCCCAAAAAGAGGGGCTCTCCGAAAGCTGGTGTAATCCAAAAGGGAAAGAAAATCAACGCCCGAGGGAAAGGAAGAATGGCCAAGGATGTGGACCAAAGTTTGAGAGGGAAAAAAAAAACAAAACAACGAGAACTGAGCAAAAAAGAAGGAAAGAAGAATGGGGAGAACCTTGAGGAAACAAAGCGCGCCCCTCCCTCTCCGTGCGCGGCTTCCCGAAACGGCCATGTCAGGCGGACATCTCCAGATACTGCGGAGCAAGGGAAGGCAGGACTGACCCTTCGCTAGTCGTTAGTCGTGCGGGCGAGGGTCAAGGGGAGGCCCAGACGGAGGGAGGTCAGGGAGAGAAGAGAAAAGACCCCAAAGACGAGAGCTATAAGACATTTATTCAAATAGTCCCCCCGCACGTTTCACGCAACTCTCCCCTCTTACCCGGGGCGGACCGGACGGAGGAAAGGGGGACGACGGTGAAGGACCGAAGGCGATGAAAAGAGGAGACGTGAGAGAACGTCGAAGAAAGAGCAAGAGGTGATGAAAAGAGACCCGAGGGGGCAGGCAGTGAGCAGTGAGAGCGCTTCGTCTTCTTCACGCGGAACCTTGTCTTAGGACGACACGCCGTCTGAACCTTGTCTTCTCTTGCAGATCGAAGCTAGTCCGCCGCTGTCGCTGAGCGAGACGAGCGCGATTGATCAATCTAGTGTATGTGACCTTGACCTTGCAGTGACCTTGCAGCGAGGCGAAAAAGGAAAAAAAAAGAAAAAAAGAAAAAAAAAGGAACGGGAAAGGGCAGAGCGTGGGAATCGCGGGCGCATTGTCTTTCTTGCCGACACGCGCGACGAAAAGGAAAGAAGCCAAATCCACAAGGAAAAAGGGCCGGACTTGGAAGAGTCAGTCAGGTGGCGAGGGGACTAAGGTCAATACGCGCCCGTCCTGCGCGCTATTGCTTTTCCTTCCTTCCCCTTCTGCCCTTCACGCTACACTTCGCGGTCTTCACGTGAAATGTACATTGAAACATGAAGCTACTAGTGCCGAGCAGAGCGTGCATTTGCGCGCGCGACTGCTTTCCCAAACTCGAAAGGGTATCAAGGGAATTTGGGGGTGATCCAAAGGCCGAGGTCGAATGTGCGTCCTCCTGCCGGGATTCGAGACCCCTTCCATACCCTGGTGTTCGAGTCACATCTCAGAAACCCCTTGTAGCACTCGTAGTCGGACCTGGAACACTCCGTCGTCCAAGGATGGGATGGAGAAGAGGGAGCAGTGAGGGACGTGAGGGGAGAAGGGGACTCGGTCGAGAGCAGCCACAACCGGTTACTAGGTAAACGATAAGCACAAATATACTTGTGATACTGCTCCCTCCCCCAAAAAGAGACGAGGAGGGAAAAAGAAAGGAGCAAAGAGACTGTTAGAGGAAATTGCTCATCTCTAGTCCGAAACCAACCCGTTTAAAATGCCTGCCTGATGCGCGCGTAGATATCAACTGTTCTTTGTTTTCCTGTTTGTCCCAATAATAGCCCGGAGCCGTCGTATCCGCCTGGCTGATGAACGCCATCACGGCAATCTCCTTGTTTTTCCCGAGTTCCCGTTCCGGACCTTGCCCTTTTCTAAACATACTAGTGGATGCGCAATACACATCTATTTCGTCAATCGGCCGATGGCCTAACATCACCGCGCCCGAGGCTTCAGCGTCTCCCAGCCCCTAACCCCCATCTCCCTCCCCGTCCAGTGAATCTAGTAGATCCATCCCGCCTTCCGCCCCGCTCTCCGTCTTTTCCCTAGCATGCGCCGGTTTGGCCGGAACTAGAGGAGGCGCTGGCCTGCGTAACAGTCCCGCTCCCGGCCTTACCATGCCCGCCTCCTCACCCGCAACCATGCCTGGAAGCCGCACGGCTCCTGGTGGCGGCGTCGAGCTCGGTGTTCGATTCGAAGTTTCCGCGACAATATCGCTCCTTGCCGGCTTCCCCCACTGTCGGCTTAGGGGCTTCGGGGTGCTACCGACTTCTTTTGGATACTGAGCGCTGGGGATGCCGAACCTAGGCTGTTTGTCGGTGCTATCAGGCCGACATCCGTTGAGCTCCGGGCGGGGGCGGAGGCTTGCGCTCCTTCTCCTCGCCTGTAGTCGGCGTAGGGGACGCAGCTGCAAGATACTGCGGTTTCTTCGCGACGGGCGGCGGCCCTACTGTTTTGGACAACTCTTTGCTGGTGTGAGGGTTGGAGATGACGTCGGCGCCGCCACCTGCTGAGAGGCTCGGGAAGGGGAGGCGGCGGGACGGGTCCCGGGGAAACAGTATGTGTGGAGGATCCTCCTCTCGGTGGTGGCGGAGGGGGCGGCGCAGTTGTCCTTGTCTTCTGAATTGGTCGTGGGGCCGCGGACCCAACTTGTGAGATGGGAGCAGTCAGCTGCCGTCGGGGCAGGGAGGCGGAGGTGCATCCCGCGCCTGTGGCGACCTCGACAGCAAATCTTCGTGCACGCCCAGGCGCCCGTGTAGTGCCGGTAGTGAAACTGGATCGTAAGGGGCGGCAGCCTCCTAGCTCCTGCGCCAGGTCCAGCCCCCGAGCCAGCACCAGGACCGGCACCTGCCGGAGTCGACAGGGTTGTGGAGTGATTGATGACTTCATATGCCGAGCTTGCGAGGCTCGACAGAGATTGTCTCGACGACGACCGCGGGATAGATACCCAGTCTGGCTCCTCCGACGGGGTAAAAGGGTTGCCCGGTCTGTTGGGGTTGAGGATGACCGTTGCCGACCCGTTAGACCCCGCGCCCCCTTGTGGCGGCGGTAGGTTGACTCGAGCCGACTGCCCATTAGCTAACCACCACTTTTGCCGGTCTGAACTGGCAGCCGGGAGCCCCGGCTCGATGGCGTCGTACCCGATGAGATCTTCGTCCTCCTCGCTATCCTCGTCCATATTTGTGGCCGCCTCTCCGACCTCGCGCACACGTCTCTTGTACAGCTCCTCGCTAATTGATTGCCGCAACGCCTCGTCCACGAGGCTCACCACGCAGTGAAACACGGCATACACGGGTCTATGGTCCGAAAACCGCAGCGGCGCCGAGTCATAAGCCACCTGCTTGAGGTTTTTGCCTCTGCGTAGGATACGGTCGGTCCAAGCCGGAATTCTGGCCTTCTCACTGCGAAAAGAGTGTTAGAGACCCAATCGTCAGTCTGTCAAAATTGTGAAAAAGCCTTCCTGCGTGGCTTCTCTCGCCTTGGCTACTTACGAGCTATCGTATTCGTCAGTCCCTAAATCGAACTTGTAGGTTGGCGCAAAGGTAATTTTACTCTCCGAGTAATACGGAAACGAGAGCCCCGCGACCATTTGCAGGTTAAGCTATAGACGGTAAGGGTAGTAAGTATGTGTACTGTAATTTTACCGCAGACTTCATGCACAGGGTTGTCGGTTAAACTGCCAGCTTTTGAGAGTTTGTCCTTACCTGATCGTTGTCGTAAAGGGTAGCGAGATCGCCCCGCTGGATATAGTTGAGAGTGGTTGGCCGATCAAGTCCAATGCGGTAGTTAAAATCACCAAACCAGATAACCGAGTCTGCGCACATATGGCCAGATTAGCAGAAAGCCCAACTCCCCGGCCTGCCGGGACAAAACTCACCATGATCATCTATGCCCCGATTCCTCTGGAACCGGAGCCCGTGATGGATTGTTGCGAAGTCTCTGTTCCTCTCGTCATAGTTGGCGAACCCTGCTGCCAGATGGGCCGTGACGAAGCAGATTGGAGTGTTGGCGTAGTCTAATCGAATGGCTACTGCACCCTTGTTGCCCGCCATTCCCGACATGCCCGTTTTCTTGACACTACCCTCCACGTTCTTGATGTGGCCCAGGGCCGACGACTTGACAAAGAGACACAGGGCTGCTCCAACAAGCTGGCCGCTACGGAGTAGGATGTACTTTTCCCCGGCCGGCTTCGCCCGCGCGTTGAGGGCTTTGCGAACAGCTTGCTCCCAGAGGTGTTTCCTCGACGGATCGCTATTCATGATTTGCTGTGGACTTAGCTCCACGATCTCCTGGAAGCCAATCGCCACAATCTCAGGGAGTATGGCATCGACGGCCGGGGGCCAAAGCCACCGAGAGAGGTCCTGGTCGATGCCGTGAGTCTTGCCGTTCAGATTGAATGTGCCAATGAGCCTACGAAGGACGAGGACGGGTTAGTGACGTGAGACTCTTGTTGCGCAAGGTAGAAGGAAGCCTGTACGTACATTGTAATGGATTTGTTTGAGGAATACTCTGCGACCCTCTTCGCCAGCTCGGCAGCGACGTAATCGCTAACGGGGTCAAATAGCTGCACCGGCTTCTGGCCCATGAGCCTTCCCAGCAGCATATCGATCGTCAATTGCCTCGAAGGGTCAGTGAAGTTGTTGTGGTAGAGGCGCTGCGCCGACTTTCGAAAATCAGCCATGGCCCCCGAGAGAGACATCTTGCCGTGTCTGGTAAAGGATGTCTTGAGCGCCCCGGTGCCCGCATAGATTTTGGACAGCGCGTCGCCATTGTCTGCCCAGAGGCTAGAGTGGCGCATCCAAAAGTCCGAGGCCGCATATTCCCCGCGGTGGACGAGGAATGTTTCTACAGCCATCTGCGAGATGATTGTCTGGATGAGATTGGTTCGGTCCAGGCAGTCGAGACAGTTGGTGCGAAAAACGCCTTCTTGCTGAAGCACGACGACGAGCCGGCTCTCTTTATCGTTTAGGGTGCTCACATCGTCGGGCCCTTCCTCGCTTTCGTGGGCGAGGTAGTAGGCAAACGCATCAATCGAGTTCTCGATGTACCTTCTGATACCTTTGGCCGCCTCATAACCACTCGCTTTCGTCTCCGCGTGGAAATCGTACTCGCTCGACTTGAGCAAGGCGTGGTCCTGGGATGCCTTGTCCCCGGAGCGGCCAAGCGGGCAGTGCGCAGCCCCATGACGATAGAGTTGTGTCAACTCGGCCTCTCCCGGCTTCGCGTCGCTCAGCAGGTTGATGATGTGAACGGCGCCGTACACTTCTTCCAAGCCCGCAAAATGCTTATCGAAGGCAGGCTGCGTCCCGTCGGGCGAACGGGTAACGGTAATCTTTTGCCTCCCAGGGATGAGATCTGGTGCCTGCTCCCAGAACACCGGCACCGAGCCTCGAACTTGTACGTAGGAGAAGACGATGCCGGCGGGGCTCCAGTAGGTCGTCTCGGATTCGACAAAGTTGGCAACGTTGCCGTCATCATCGATACCACGCGAGTTAAAACGTGTGCCTGCGCGCTTGCACGAAAGTCTTGAAATGACGGAAAGGAATGAGGGTAGTCGTGACGACTTGGGGGCGACAGGCGCGGCGGACTGGGGGATGGTCATGGTCCCGCAGAATCCACGGATGGCGGAGGTCAAAATCCTCGAGTGGTCGAGTGCGTCTCTCTCGGGAGGCATCAACCTGGCCCTAAACTTCACAAGAGGGCTGATCATGAACGAGTTCCAGAGAAAGGACTCGTCAAAATTGTCAATGTCAAACGTTGCACTAGCTGGCCTGTCCCATCCCGTAAATCAGAAATTGTTAGTCGTGCATGCAACTCTTGGCCCAAGCTAGGAACCACGTTAACCCACCTATTTTGAAGCCTACTAGTCAGGTCGAAATCTGTGCTATAATAGAAGGTTCCATTGCTCAACAGCTTCCGAAGCTCCTGACAAGGATGCTGCTCTATCGGCATGTCCCTCCGGCCAAGGTTCTGTCCATAGGCGGACGCCGAGTCTAAGAGCTCGGGATCGTAGACATCGAGAGAGTAGATGTTGTCATACTCGGACGTGTTGAGGCAATAGAAATCGACGGATGCGATGCGCTCGACCGTTTCCCCGGGCGAACGGTCGCGGCTCGTACAGCCTGGGTTATAACGCAGAGGAAGACGTCGCCATCGATCGAGGTCAACCCGAGCGTGCCGTATACGGGTTGGGGCGTCAAAGGACGATAGTTTTGCAGGACATGTTTGGTATTTCGAGAGAACTCGACCATGCACTTGGGCTCGAAGCCATCGCCATTTCGGGGGCGGTGGGTGGGGGGAAAGAATCGATGTCTCGCTCGCTGGCGGAGTTGCTGTAGCGGAAGATGAGGGAATGGGAGTCGGAGACGATGGCGACTGCGCGGTGGGGTTGCTCGCGGATAAAGATCTGGCTGGATTTCTCGATCCCAGGGGACGGGCGGTGGACAGGCCATGTGCCTGTCGGAAGAGGTCTTTCCATTCGGGAAGAGTGAGTGGGAAGTGTTGCCAACGCCTAATCTTTGAGGCGGAGGTTGCGTGCGTTGGGGATCTAGGTCATTCTTCTGATGACATCAAGATTCAGCGGAGGTGTTGCGCTACTCGGGGAGTGGGCTCGAGGCTGGAACGGAGCTAGGGATTGAGCGCTCGATGTCATCCTTGAACCCCTGCACCCTGGAGAGACAAGTAGTAGTAGAAAATGAGGGGAAGGAGAATGGGAGCGAAGAGAACTAAATCGTTTTCGCGAGGCCAAGTTGCGCAAACTATGCTTCGACAAGGAGATGTTGCATAGCGAGCCCAGGCTTGTCATCAATGATGAGCTGGCTTCGTCGTGGTCGGCGTGGCCAGGCCCGAGCTGCGAGCGACGGTGTGGTTGATTCTCAGCTACTACAAGTTCAGCCTGGTTGTTGCCGCTACGCCGCACTAACAACCAAGGGAGAAGAGCACTTGAGCTGACTACGAATCATAAGTGCCGTGCGTGGGGGATGCTGGAAGGAGCGGCCCTCAAGCTCAATGTCGCACAACAGCACTGTACTATAGTACAGCCAGCAGTGAGCCAGCAGAGCTTATCACTGTGGACTTTTTCGGGGGACAGAGGCCTCGCAACCTGCGAAACTGCACCATCCATCTCATCACCAGGCTCGAGCCTCTTTGGAATTGTGTCGAGGCGACTTTGGGACCATCGATGAGGCTCAAAATTTACAGGTCATGAAATTAGAACGCTTTCATGAAGGCTTACTTGCAGCAGCAGACCGATCCATCAAAGACCCTCCCACGCTCTAGACCAACGCAATCTTCGAGGCATCTACTTCCCTCATGAAAACTCAAAAGGATGCTTGATCTGAATGGGTCCACGGGGCCCATGTCTCGCTCTCAGCCTTTTTCTTTCCCTCCTGTTTTCTTTTCTTTTAGATTTGCCCACGTTCCCTCTCCTCGACCTAAGCAAAATCGGCTTGCTCACTCGAGCTGGCCGTTGATCAATGCATTTCGTTCTACTGTCTCAAGGAGACGAACAAGAGGTGCGCCACACCATGAAAAGGCCCATGGCATAAAGTAGGTAAAAAGGAAAGTGAAACCAGCTAGTAAGTAATAGAAATCAGGCTAGGCTTCAGATACGAAATTTGAGATCAAGCATCCCATTAGGGAGGCATTCAGTCTCTTCCTATCATATGTTTGTTTGTGCATCATCACCAGCCTTAATTTTGGAAGAAGAAAAGAAGAAGAAAATTGCGCCGGTCAATCCCTCTTGATATTTGTGTGGATGGTGGATTACATAACCATGGAGAGTGTCTAGTTTCTTCACAAGGGAAGCTTGTCTTGGTTGGAAGACTCTGGTTGGCTGAGAGAGGAAGGAAAAAATGGGGTACCACAGCTGTATGTACCTACCGAGGTGTGAACTCCAGTCCCGGCAAAGAAGTATGTTGAGAAAGCACTTGTCTAGATACAAGGCTCATAGGTACTCAATAGGCCCTGGCTCTGCTCGAGCAACCCATCTAAACACTCCAAAAGCTTCTTCCCAAGGGTGGGTAGAAAAATCCAGCCACCCTTCTTCCATCAACTCCCATTCACTCATTCACCCAATCCAACTTCCCCTCGCCATTTCCTACCCCTTCAAGTTCCCATAAGCTCCCTCTTGTCTTATCGCTCCGTGATCACGACCTAGATCTCCTCTCTCCGCCGCCATTTTTATCGCCCCCTTTGGCCATTTTTCATCCTCTTCGTGGAACTCCCCTCCAAGAGTGGCACTCGCGATTTATTTCGCGTTGTCGCATGCGCACGCCTTGCCTTGTCATCAGCGACTAACCATTTCACATCACAACCATGGCTGACTTCGGCCACTTCGCCGCTCCCGACGAGGAGAATGCTGAGGTTAAGCGCCTCAGAGCTGAAGTAGTATGTCCAGAACGGCCTTGATGACCCTCTCTTCAGACCCTGCCCGCCGATTGTTCATGATGTCATGTGGCTAACCCCGAGATTCCTTCTCTTTTCTTTCTTGTTAGGATGCCGACCCGGATAGCTTCGAGAACTGGGAGAAACTAGTACGCGCTTGCGAGATGGATGGGACTCTGAATCGAAACTCTAGTCCCCAGGCCATCACCGCGTTTCGGGATGGATATGACGGCTTTCTTCTCAAATTCCCCTCCTCTTCGGCTACTGGAAGAAGTACGCCGACCAAGAGTTCAATATCGCTGGCCCAGAATCTGCCGAGATGGTAAGTTGATGTACCCTCGCCTTCGCCGACCCCGGCCTAGTTAGTTGGACGCTAATCATGAATGGGCCTGTTCAGATCTACGAGAGAGGCGTCGCAAGCATCGCCAAGTCGGTTGACCTGTGGACCGAATACTGCTCCTTCAAGATGGAGACTACACACACACCTCACCTGGTTCGAGAGTAAGTACTGGCAGGGTATCTTTTTCCTTCCCTCCTCCCCTTAACCAGAATCAAACTTTTGTCGTCGTCGACGATGCAGTCAGTTCCGGGATGACGCGAGCTTCCTTGCTCGCTGCCGCTGTCTTCTTCGACCACGACAATTCGCTTCCGACCTGTTTCTGCCCGTCATCTCTATCTTTACTGGCGCGGAATCGCTGGATTGGCCCATTCAATACTTCAATTCTTTTTATGAGAAATGACTTAGCACTTCTTTGATCTTTGCGTTGCCAACCCATGCCACTTTGTGGTCGACGGCCGACTCGCCATCCTCCTCCCTGACGCCGTAACCCACTTACCCGGATTCGTTCTATTGTCTTCGTGGTGTTGGATTATGCGCGTCGCTTGCACTCGAGATAGCCCGCCCTTCCTGTATAGCACCTTTTTCCCTTTGCTCCCCGCTCTATTCCTCCCTCGGTCTCCACAGCCGCCCACCCTCCCCCTCTTTCCCTTCCCCGACCAGGCGTGGGGCTGGTGTTCGTCGTAAACTAACGGTTGAGCGTAACAGACTTTTCGAGCGAGGCGCAACTGCGGTTGGTCTAGACTTCCTTGCCCACCCTTTCTGGGACAAGTATATCGAGTACGAGGAACGCCAAGAGGCGCACGACCGAGTTTTCACCATCCTCACGCGCATCATCAATATTCCCATGCACCAGTATGCGAGGTACTTTGAACGCTTTCGACAGCTGTCCCAGGTGCGCCCCGTGGCAGAATTGGTTCCAGAGCAAACTCTTGCGAGGTTCAAGTCTGAAGTTGCCGCTGAAGAGGCAGCATACGGTGGCCAACCTCGGTCGGAGCTAGAGGTGGAGCGCGAGATCAGGACAAAAATCGACAGCTTTTACTACGACGTTTTCACGCGCACACAGTCTGAGACGACGAAACGGTGGACGTTCGAGTCGGAGATTAAGCGTCCCTACTTCCATGTAACGGAACTCGAACACCCGCAACTTGCAAATTGGCGCAAGTATCTGGACTTTGAGGAGGCCGAGAACGATGCAGTTCGTATCATGTTTCTTTACGAACGCTGCCTGGTGACTTGTGCATTCTATGACGAGTTCTGGTTCCGATACGCTAGATGGACGGCTTCGCAGCCGGGCAACAAGGAGGAGGAGGTGCGAAACATTTACCAGCGGGCCTCCACCCTCTTCGTGCCCATTAGTCGGCCCGGAATCCGCCTCCAGTGGGCTTACTTTGAAGAAAGCTGCGATCGGGTAGATATTGCCAGCGATATCCATGGCGCAATTCTCTTGAAGCTCCCCGATTGTATCGAAGCCATTGTGTCGTGGGCCCACTTAGAGAGGCGGCAAAACGGCCTTGAGGCGGCGGTTGAGATTTACAAGGGCCAGATCGACTCTCCCCTTGTCGACATCTATACCAAGGCAGCTCTGGTTGCCGAATGGGCCTTTACTTTGGAAGGATAAGGGTTCTGTTGATGAGGCTCGCGGAGTCTTTTCCAAGAATCTGCAGTGGTACGGCGACAGCAGAATCTTTTGGGAGAAGTGGATCGAGTTCGAGCTGCAGCAACCTACGAGCGCCGCCCTTGAGCCAGAGAACGCGGAGCGGATCCAGCAACTGTTTGAGCAGCTCCGAACCAAAAGTCGCTTGTCAGCCGCTATCAAGAAGGACCTGTCACGCAGCTTCTTTACCTATCTACAGCAGAGGGGAGGCAAAGACGCTATGAAGCAGTTCCTTCTCCTAGATCGTGAAACCTTTGGGTAAGTTCCTCCCTTTTTTCTTCCCTCTTCCTTTTCTTGGTCGTTCCTTTTGGCCGTACGCGCATTATACTAACCGTGCGTTGACATCGCAGGCCTCCTTCGGTGTCCGTTTACTCCAAGTCCAAGGCGGGAGGCAACAAGGAGAACGGGCTGGCTGTGGCAGAGCTTGATGATGCCACCAAGATCAAGGCTGAGGCCAAATACTGGAGGTTCTACGACCTTCACGGGGATGTGAGCCCCGATGCCCAAGGCCTTGCCAGTTTCAATTAAGACGAGCCCAGGGCGTTGTCCAACGTTGGATGGAGGGAATGAAAACAGCCCGCATTCCGTGAGAGTACAACAAGTCGCTCGCGGAACAGAACACGAGGCTGCTTGTGTATACTATGATGTGTTTTTCTTGTCTTCGTCTCAGGGCCCTTTTCATAGCCCTGTCTGGGCGGCGCGCGCGCACTTACCCTACCCGTGCCGTCCTTCTATCGCCCCGATTTCCCGTTTTTGTTACCTTGAAATGTTGTATCGCTTTTTGGCAAGGGCAAATATGTAGGAGGGTGGTTGGATTGTTCGTTCTTTGCAACCCTTTTAAGAGATGATGGTGCCAGGTTCGCAGCACAGAGCTGCACTGGAGATGAAGAAAGGATGAGTAAGGAGAGAAAGAAAACATATGTAAGGCAATGGGAAGAGGAAACCGAAAAAAGGAGAGGAGGGAAAACTTTTGAGGCAGCTGAGGTGCCTGGATCTTTGCTTTGAAGTCGAAGGGGTTGGATGAGGAGGTGATGCGAAGGCGTCTTGGCCCTAGGACCATAAAGAAGCTGTTAGTATGTAGTCGCAGAAGCAATGAAACAAAGCAATTGAAAGGAAAAGAAATGTCGGTCGTTCCAATGCCACACAGGTACTTTGTATGCAACAGAGTCGGCCGGATGTTAGGTGTTTGTCCTCAATGATGGCGTCGGATCCGGAGAACCGGCCGGCTTCTTTCTTCGGACCCATCACGGAGCCGAAGAGACGTACCACTTTTTTTTCTATCTTCCAAGTAATTTTTTTGCCACCAGGGTCCTGGGCAGAAGTGACCAGACAAAGAGACAGGCCGGTCTCACGGGGATAACGCGGAAAAGCGCGGAGGGCGCTCCCCTCGGCTTGTACAAACGGAGTACTCCGTATTATGATGAGACCAACCTGACAAGGGTACAACGCTTATTAGAAACCCCGGTGACTACGAGCATGGCTTCAGCGTTCTTTATTCTCCTCCTCCACCGTTCATCTTGACATGCCCTCGCTGTCGGATTTCAAATCAAACTGGATGTCTAGGATGGCTTGCGATATAGGAGATTCACATGTAAAGGCGATGTTGAGTCTAATCTCAGTTTGCTCAAGAACAACATACCAACACGGTATGTTCCCTGTGGCCTCTTTTTTGTCTATGACTCTTGTGGCGAGCGGCGAGGTAGAAGCGATAGCGGCGTTCCATCTAGTCACCCCCTGTCGATATCTTGCTTCTTGTCTTCTGGGCTGAAGACGAGCAGGAGAAAGGCACCACATGGCCTTTTGTCATATTTGCTTTCCTCCATTGTTTGTCTACACTATGTTCTTTTGGGGGTGGAAGGGTCTTGACTTTCTGACCTCGGCTCAGGGTGGGGACCTAACCTACGTCCTGTCTTTTTTTTTTTTTTTTTTTTTTTTTCACCCTTTGGGGACCTTTTTGCGACGCAGCTCTCATTGGCCACGTACATAAGCGAAGGGGTCGAGACGAGATACTACACGCACGAGATCAAATGTGAAGGCCTTGACCCAGCACGATAAAGAAAAAGACTGGGAAATGAGTAAGTGCCTTTTGCAAGACCGTTTTCTCTACATGTGCCTGAGAGGGTCAGCGGTGCAACGAGTCACCGGATATATCTCGTCGTGGAGTGCAGGGCGTGCAGATCAATTGATGGCTTTGCCGAGCCTCGCTCGTCACGAAGGTGAGGAATTACGTACGAGTCGTTGAGGTTTTCGATGTACGAAGTACTTCGTCCCCTTTCGGCAGAGCTCGCTGCAAGCTTCCAAGTCAGCCTGGTGCAGCGTGCAAGTCACGGGGTTTGGCGTCAGGCCATCGGAAATGGCGTGTGCCGAGAACAAAGTACGTGCAAGGGCAGGCGAATCACACGTGTCGGGAGCAACGTGCTTTCGTGATTTGGTCGGGGTATTTCGATGGGTCAGATTTTTCAACACCAGCCTGTGACGCGAGGGGACAAGGAGGGTACAATATACATTATTAATTACGTTGGACCATCAATTGATCTTCTTTGTATTTCCGGCATTCGGAGACCCTCGGAGAAGAGGCAAACACAAGTTGAACCCTCGGAGAAGATATCGAGAAGAAGAGCATGGTCGCAAGAGCCTGCCCGTTTTCTGCTCGCCTCCCCGACTTCTCTTTCACCGTTCATACCAGTCTTCCCTCACCTCCTATGTGCTTGAGTTTGGGGGTTTTTCTTCTTTTTTCATCATAAAACGGCCGAACCTCTCCATAGCATTTCAAAGAAAAACTCCCACAAAACGGGTGGATACTAGCGCATCAGAACGAGGGTTGGGGAAAGGGGAGGGGGGTTTGCGAGTGAAGCGGCTCGGGAAGGAGGGGAGGGGAGAAAGCTCCATCTCTCCAACGCTGATCTCCGTCTCCGTTTCCCTGGGTTCTGGAGGAATTTTCGGGGACGGTAGGATTGATCCAGTCGGGTACTCTCCGACTCCAATGAGAGGAAGCTTGGAACTACATGTATCGTCATCAAACTTGACCCGAGGAATCACAATCCTTCCGTTTCCACGTTGCGCGTTTTCCCTAAACAGGACATCGGCTCTTCTAATCCACCCAAGGACCATAGACATAGACGCAGCGATATCGTCTGCGGCGATCAATTGATGAACAAGTCCGCGGAGGATTCGCGAAGAAGAAGGATGCATCGTTTTGTCCCCTCCCCCAGCGCTAATTGGACGCCCGGTATATCATCGATGGCCTGATTTCAAGCCGTTCCCCGGATATGTCAGAGCCATCCTCATCCCACGGACCGCTTCCGGAGCAGAGGTAGTTTCGGCAGCATTCAGCAATCCACGGAATTATACCTGACAAGGTCGTTTGGTAGTGCGTGTCCAGTACTTGCGCCTAGAGGTACAAGTATCACTCTGGTGTGTGGGGGCACGAAAAAAAAAAGAAATGATAAAAAAAAAAGATGGGAAAAATACCGAGAGCGCCAAGAAAAAGAACCTTTTGGTCCTTTCGATGCTGCTGTCCCTCTTTTACTCCTACGAGAGCGGGAAAAGAAGAGGGAAAAGAAAAACTTGTCTATTGAGGATGACTGTTTTATCCACATATGTGGTATTAGACCCATCCCGTGGATCCGTTTGCATTTGGTACCCGTCAAATGTGGTAAGTGATTCACTTCTCGAAGAACTTTGAACTCTGACCCCTGGCGTCTGCGGCTCTCTGAACGCTTGGAGTGTTGGGGAGCAATCAGATAAGAAAGGGTGTTTCAGACAGCAACATGAGCTGGTTTCTTACTTTTCTCAACCCCCTTCCTTTTTTTTCCTTTTTTTTTTTTTCCTCCGTTTTTCTCGAAATGTGCCTCGGAAGGAATCAGCTCACTCGCACCTTCACACCTTGTATCGCCAAACGATGAGTACACGAGATACAGGGAGAGTTGCAAACACCGGCTTTGGCTGTCTAGCTGGCCTCCTGATCCGAAGTAATAGAATTGAAAACTCCGCCAGAGAGGAGCAGACCCGATGTGGCGACGCAGAGCTGTTTGATAAGCATTAGCACTAGGAATTGTCGGCACAACAGGAGTGATTAGGAGGGATTAATAATATGTAACCATCAATTGATGAGTCTTCAAATGTGGCGTCTCTCCATGGCTTCGTCGTTATACCGAAGACGGAGACGGTTCGCATTTCCGGACCGTTCCCGGACGAGGATTTTGGCGTCTCAGGATTGGTGCTGGTGGAGATGATCCCTGGTGGCTCTTTTCCCACCCCATATCAAAAATTGATCATTGATCCCACAATCTATTCCACCCTCGGGCCAACAGTGGATCCCCACAGCTTTCCGGCCGTGCAAGCCAATAAGGACCACCCAATTTGTATTTCCAAGTCCTCGAGTGCTCTTTGCCTCTCGTGGGTCCAGCGGGTTCGCCCTCTATTCATCCTCTGAGCCCGAATGGAAACAGTGGAGGTGGAGGGTGGGTTACCCGTGTATGCCTCAAGTGCTGGCCCTCTCTTTCCCCCGGAATGACAAATGGCCTGGCCTGGAAGCCGCCCCAGCTTACACCCCCAGCTCGTGCTTTCTATCTACCCTTCTCTCACGTTCCCTAAGCTTCTCGCCTCTTTAATACCTACCCTTCTTCACCCTCTTCTTTTTTTTTTCTTGATCCCTTTCTTTTCCTTCTCTCCCACCTTCCTTTCTCACCCGCAGCCCCTTCTAGCCTGCGCATCCCTCTTTCAAGGTAAGCTAATGTTCTCTTCTTCCACCACCTCATGCCTCCCTTGTTTGTCTTCTATCCTCGAACCGATCCTTGATATTGTGAGACCGACAGGATAGACACATCAACCCATTGGGTGCTTGCGATCTATCTTAGCCCCTCTTCTGCCTCTTGGATCTTTTTTTCTCTTCATTTTTCTTCGCCTAGCTTCGAGCAAGTACTGACTTAATCTTTCTTCGCCCCCTGCCAACAGATACACAATGGCTTCCACCGCACGCCAATTCGCCCGCGTGGCCCTCCGAACCACCACCCGCCGCACCGCCTTCGTCGCTGCCCCCAGGCAAGCTTTCCGACAGGGTGGCCGCCGCTACAACTCTTCCCAGGCTGGCAAGTCGGGATCCTCGCCCTTGGTCTGGATCGCCGGTGCCGCCGTCGCCGGAGGCGCTGGCTACTATTTCTACACCCAGGGCGCGTCCGGCGCTGCCACCAAGGAGTTCAAGCCCACCCAGAAGGACTACCAGGAGGTCTACAATGTGATCGCCAACCGCCTGGAGGAGAACGATGAGTACGATGACGGTAGCTACGGCCCCGTCCTCCTCCGTCTCGCCTGGCACGCGAGCGGCACCTACGACAAGGAGACTGGCACTGGCGGCAGCAATGGCGCGACCATGAGGTTCTCTCCCGAGTCCGGCCATGGTGCCAACGCCGGTCTCAAGGCTGCTCGTGATTTCCTCGAGCCCGTCAAGGGTGAGTTCTCTTCCCCCTCCCCCGGGCCTTCTAAAGAAGGAACTAGCTTGCCCTCTCTAGATAGCTAACAGGTCTCTTCTAACAGAGAAATTCCCTGGATCACCTACTCCGATCTCTGGATTCTCGGCGGCGTTTGCGCCGTCCAGGAGATGCTGGGACCCCAGATCCCTTACCGACCCGGCCGCGTTGACCGTGACATGGCTGCCTGCACCCCCGACGGCCGTCTCCCCGACGCCACCCAGGGCTCTAGGCACCTTCGCGACATCTTTGGCCGAATGGGGTTCAACGACCAGGAGATTGTTGCCCTGAGCGGTGCTCACGCCCTTGGCCGCACCCACAAGGACCGCAGCGGTTTCGATGGCCCCTGGACCTTTTCCCCCACCGTGCTGACCAACGACTTCTACCGCCTTCTTCTCGAGGAGAAGTGGCAGTGGAGGAAGTGGGAGGGCCCGGCTCAGTACGAGGACAAGAAGACCAAGAGCCTCATGATGCTTCCCACGGACATGGTGCTCGTCCAGGACAAGGAGTTCCGGAAGCACACTGAGCGCTACGCCAAGGACAACGATGCTTTCTTCAAGGACTTCGCTGCCGTCGTTGTCAAGCTTTTCGAACTCGGTGTCCCCTTCCCCGAGAACGCGGAGCGCATGACCTTTACTTCCCCAACGCCTAAACGAGCTGCGGAAATGAAACCGATTCGCAGAGATGGGCTCTCTGTCGTGAGACGGTGAGGCGCAGAGACGAAAAGCGAGAAGCGGGGAGGGGATATTAGGGATTGCACATTCTGCCCCGCCATCCCCTCTCTCCCCATCGCATCGCCTTTTGTTCACTTTTCTCTCATCACCGGTGCTGGGGAGTAATGTTTGTATATGAAGGCTGTGTTGATGGAGACGCGAAGGAGGCTTTGAAGTGTTCACCCCTTCTTCACCTTTCATTTGTCTCGGGATAGAAAAGCGGGCATAGAACGCGTTGGCCGTATGTACGAGGTGTACAAGAGGTCCTGCTTAGAACTTTCATTTTTTTGTCTCTCAGCTCCCGTGTTTTTTACTATTACTTAGAAATACTGTAAACAGAGATTCCCACGATGTGTTCAAACATCAATTCAGGTGTACCATGCTTGAACAGGTGAAGTCGATATTTTGGTGCCTTGGGTTATCACAATTGCATTCATGGATGTTGCCATTGAAAAATTACGGCTAGTTAATCAATTGGATCCATTGGATCCATTGTGTGATTGATCAATTGCTTTGTGATTGGCGAGATAAGCCCTACGACTGCTATCTTTGCCTCTGATTACGGGTATCTGCGGCCGGGGCCCGCCGCAGTGAAAGGAAAAGAGGAAAGGGAAGGAGAGAAAAATACTTGGGAGGCGAAAGAAGGCCCAGAAATGGGCTTGGAAATGAGCCAGGCGATAAGAGACTGGAGATGGCTCTGTTAACGCAACTCCCGATTACGCTAGCCCCGAGTATCCGAACCGTAACCCGAATTGGCCCGGGGACCAGCTCCGATCTCAGGTACTGTCACTGACTCGGTTCGGCCCAGAACAGAGAAAAGGAGTTGTTTGAATCAGCCGAGATTGAAGAGATGAATGGAAATGGCCTTACGGAGTTTAGACGCAATGTCTGGCTAAGCCTTCTTTGATCAAGAATAATTTTAAAATGGAAGATTCTACCCGTACATTTCTTCCGTGTCTGATGGCATAGCACAAGTGGTGATTCTGTCAAAGAGCACGGGAATCGAGGGTCCAAATCGCCCCTGCCGATCCCCTACATGATGGGTGGCCGGAAACGTCATATTAGGTGGTGTCTGGTCTGTGTTGAGAAGCGGGATGCGGCTGCGGCACCCTTCGTTTTTTTACCTCATCCAATGAGTGGCACTCGTCTCAGTACCTCGATATTCTTTTGCCCGATAGGGTAGACCCAGGCGTTCGGGACGAACATGCACTATTAATATCGCTAGAGACGCACTGTGCATTGTGTGTGTGGTATGTGTGTGGTATGTGTGTGTGTGGCAGTCGTGATTCGCAAATGCACCTTTTAGGTCTGTATCTGTATCTGTAATGAGATGCACCTGCGTCTTTTTCTGGAAGAAAAGGGCAGAAAGGGCCCGATGATGTCCTTCACACGGGCAATGGGGCCAGCATGTTCATTCGAGTGACGGGGCGCTGACTATGAAGATGGGAGCGGGAGGGAATCCGACGTTTTCTGTATCACGACGGGCGTGCCAGTCTTTGAACCGTACCTCGTTTTCATTCTCCTTCCAGTCTCACCCCTTCTTTCTTTCCCGCTCACACGAATCCCGTCTTACCGGTGTTGATCTATGAGCTTGGCCCTTCGCAAGGAGGTCTCTCCCACCTTCTCTCGTCGCCCTCTCGTGGAGTCTAGGCGCGGGCCATAGGTTCCCTTGGGCCACGAAGCTGCTCATCCCCTGGTTTTTACTTCCTTTTGCCAAGTTTTGGTGGCTTCTGGCCCCCGGCTCAAAAGGGTGCATTATCCGAAACCCAAACTTCCACAGCCGTCGCCGCCGTAGCTCACATGTGCAGACCATCGGCAGCCCTCCTCAAGGCTTGGGCGAGGGGGCCACATTTTTTCCTATCCTAACCCCTCTGCATAGTCGGCTCCTCATCGTCCCATATCCTCTCATGACATAACTACTACATTAGGGGTCCGGTCCGTCTAGACCAACCCCGGAAGAGAGGTGCCGCGAGGTGCCGAGCACGCGTAAAACAAGACCTCGGCGATATTCCGTCCTCGAACCATGACTCCGGAGACAGCCGCGTCGCCAAGGACGTGGGTACTTTGTTTTGGAGGGCCAAGGTAGTCAGGTCTGCTACGTCTCTTTTAAACATGTGCCGAGTGGGCTCCCGCTCTCTCGATCCACGAATGGCGATTCGCGAAGTAGCATGGATGTCTAGCCGCCTGCGCTCCTTCAAAGTCAGGGTCCTCGACCCCTTCCAGCCTTGGACGAAACAATGATCTAGATGCATTGTTCATGCTTCCGACGTTCCCTGTCATGTGTCATGATCTATCATCATTGATGGAACCGGGGCTGGGCCGCCCTCTTCGTAAATAGACTAGGTCTCGGTGAATGGCAAGTAGGATAGGTGCAAGGATCACGAGAGCAAGAGAGGAGATTCATTCACTGTAGATGGACTGGCGCTTCTTGGGTTCTTCTTGGTTTTGAAATTGTGGTAGCATGAAAATGCTTGCAAAGAGCGGTAGTATTTGCCCGCCCTTCTTGGTAAATAGATGGATGTAGATATCAAACAAACACCTCCCACCACCATCCCTTTCCCACCCCCTTGGCCACCCGTACCCTCCAAAAGCGTCCATTAACCCGATATACGTCATGATGATACAATTGTTGCTTTAAGAATGAGCCTTTTCTCGGCTCTTCTAGAAGAAAAAAACATGTATAAGAAGTAAGAACCCGAGGGAGATGGAGATGTGTCCACGGGGAGGAACAACCAGAACGGCTGCGAGACATGATGAAAACCCAAAGGAAAAAAGAAACGAGAAAAAAGGCCACGAAGGCGAACCTGTACGCCCCGCTATTTACTTCATTAATGAGGATGAGAAAAGGGTCAAGGAAAAAAACCACCCCCGCTAGGTCTATATGGTGTTGATGATGTGTATGCCGCTGACTGGAAAATTATTTGCTCCCACTGAAATCCTGAGCTGTGAAGTTGTTGAACTGGAGCTGTCGCCTTTGGTTCTGGTGGGGGATGACTTGGACACCATGGTCGCGTCCGACCAGTTATACTCGGTGTTGCCGCTCGACATGGATGTGTAGAAAGCCGCCGACATGGAAACTTGTTGGGGAAGCTCGGCGTCGAGGGCTGGCTCATGTAGTTGTCCGACACGTAATTGGGAAGGCAAAACTCGGTCGTCCTCACGGGGTACTCGACTCCGGGAGTGAGGAGCGCCTCGTCGGGGGCGCCAAACCCAAGAGTCGTCTCGATAGAGTGCGTAAACGCGTCGCCGACGGTGATGGGCGTGGCAGGGGGTTCGGAGGCTCTGGTCCAGCACCGAGGGGTGAACGGGCGCATCCGGGTAGACCAAGTAAGGTCCGCTTTCTTCGGCAGACGAGTTGGAAGAGACGGTCGCTTCGCGCAGCGACTGGTGCGTCGCCACGACGGGCGTGTTGGGAGTGGGAGGCGCCATCGCGTTGGTTAGAGAGGACATGCCCGCGTTGGGCGAGCGCGCGGCCTGCAGGATGGATTCCTGCCTGCGGTCGTTATACTGGCCCCTTTGGGGAGCGGGAAACCGGCGAATGCCGTGAGGTCCAAACCCGGTCGCCGAGGCCACCCGACGCATGGGGCTGCTAGGGTCCACACGCCTGTTACCGAAGTCCATGCCTGTCGCGGGCCCGTTCGAGATGCTCCTCAAACCAGAAAGAGCGAGGCCAGGGCGCTTCCTCCTGCCAGCGAGGTCAATGGCAGGTGGCGACTTGATGCTAAAGTCTTGCTGGTCCATCTGCTCGGATTCGAGATCCTGAAACCCAGCATCGACCGAGTTGTGCGAGCTTCCCACGTCTTGGTGGTACATGACGCCCATATCCTGCTTCATGTTCAACGAAGCGCCAAACGAAGGCGACTCCTCGACGCCGTTGGGAAAGACCATGTACGGGTACGAGAAGACGCCGACGCTCTCCGGAGCACCGGCCATGGTGCAAGGCATGGAAGCCGCGACCGTGTTTGCGGCCGCAGCGTCGTTGACGGACATCATGCTTGAGAAGTCATGGCATGCAGAGGGAAAGTACGACCCATCGATGCCCGTCGAGTCAAAGGCGGAGCCGTTGCTGTGTGGCGAAGCCTGGCCCGAATAGATGGAGGCGGGTTGCGTTTCGGGAGCACCTGCTCTAGCTGTGGCGAGCTGTGAGATGAAGGGGCATTGTGGTCGGAGAGCGGGCTTGGTGAGCTGTTTTCCCGTTTTATCGAAGGGTTGGAGGCGGCAAGGGTGATATCATCGGGCTGTTCTGTGGTGGGAAGGGGTTCCTCCGTGTCGGATCCCGCGTGCGCGTCTGCCTGGTCCTCCTCAGACTTGCTCTTCGCGTCTTGGAGCTGTGCCTTTAGTTCCTGCTTCTTCTTGGCGCGCCTGTTCTGGAACCAGTTCTACAAAAGACCGGCCAAGTCAGTAAGCGGACGACAAGACACGCAGCACGGGGAATCGGGGGAATCGCTGTAACTTACATTGATCCTAGCAACATCCACCCTCATCTGTTCGGCGAGGCCCTTCTTCACATTGGAGCTGGGCTTGTTGTTCTTTTGAAACTCGGCTTCTAATTGTTCGACCTCGCCCTTGGATAGCCTGGGTTTCGTTTCTGTCCGGTGAGACTGGAGGAGTGAGTTGCGCGCGTACGGGTCCATCCAGCGATGGCCCTGGTAGGGATACTGGGCGACCTCACGCGCTTGTTGGAAGCCTACGGCCTGGGCGTCATAGAGGCTGGTGGGGTACGCGTTTTGCGGCAACCGATGTTGCATCTGCTGATATTGGAAGTATTCCATTTGATCGTCCTCCCTCCAACGGGACGTTGACCACTACCGTCTACAGTATGGTTCAAGGTGAGTTGCCTGGTCGAGGATATATCCGATGTGGGCAGTACAGAGGAGGCGTTGGCGTGCAAACGAGAAGATGTCTCCTAGGTGTGGGAGAAGGTAGAATATATATATATATGGGTAAGCGTCGAGGGGGAAAGGAAACGACTGAGTGGGGGCGTAGAGTGGGAGATGATGGAGCAAGAGAGATAGAGAGGAAGGATGAGAGTGCAAGTTTGCGTGGATGGTGGTGATGTTCAAGGTGATGCTGTTTGGAAGTGAGTGTCGTCAGAAAGTGACCAAACTAGCAATCGTTCGCTCAGTGAAGGACAAAAACAGGAGCAACGAGGTAAATCCAGGTCAGCACATGAGGCGAGGGAGAGAGGGTGATGGATGCCTTTAATCCTTCACGAGAGATCCAGGGCACTTGGAAGGGAGAGCGGGAAGGGGGTGTGGTATGTGGTGTGTGGTATGTGGTGTGTGGCAAGTAGGAGAGTGAGACAGCGGAAAGAAGACCACACCCCGGAAAGAAGAGACCACACCCAAGAGGAGACTTGGGTGTGGAAGAGAAGCGACCGGGGGGCTCCGTAGTTTGGCGGGCTCGCGGTTGACCCAGGTGCAAGCGAGTTCTTGTGATGTGAGCGAGGTGTGTAAGTGTCAACTGGGGGCGGCAAGAGCAGCGCCCTCCGTACTAGGAGCAGCACCAATTTTCTCTCGCTCTCCCTCTCTCTCTCTCCCAGGACACGCCAACATTTGGGTGGGAGATTCGCACAGGTACAAGAGTCGCCCTGACTGACATGGGGTATTTAGCACGGGCAAGGGCTGGCAAGGGGTGGGCCAACTGGAAGTGGAGGTACTTCACACTTGATCAGGCAAAAGGAAACCCTAGCACGTTGCCCATTTGTACGTATTTAGGCCTCCACAGAGGGTGGCCCTCGCACGGAGGACACCGCCGACCGGAAGTCTTAGCTTCCTGAGGTGGGGTGGGGAGGGGGTGGGATAGAGGATTGAGAGGGCAAGGGGACAGAAAAGAAAAGAGAAAAAGAAGAAGGGGAAAAAAAATGGTGGGCAAGTTGATGGGCAGGGGGGCGAGGTGATTAGCGCCAGGGTCGGTTCCCGAGGAAGGTATCCTGGCATCCTGGCGAGTGCCTGTGCTTGCAGCTTGAGGTCGTGCACTGGGCTCCTCGAGGATCATGGGTGGGATGGGTTGTGTGACTCGGAGCCAGGTACTCTCCTGTACCTTCAATGGAGTGCAGACCCGTCCAGAGAGGGCTGGCCACCAGTTTTGTGTCAACCAGAAAGTACCGGGATTGCTTGTACTCTGGTACTCAGAATCAACTTCAGCCCAAGGGGACAGGGGGACACAACAGCGACAAGCCAAAGGGCGACCGAACCCAGGAAACGAAAAGAAGACAAGAAAAAAAAAAAAGAAAGGGAGGAAAAACGCGGGAGATGCAAATTTCCAAGACCCAACTTGGGGCCCCATGCTCGCGCGCTCGACCTTGAAAGACGGCTTAGGGGCTGGAAGTGAAGGTATCGTGTTGTCGCGTTCTGTGTTGCCCTTCATCCATTTTTGGTCTGGGACTGGACTTCTGGCTTCTGGCTTCTGCTGCTGGTGGGAGCACCTCAGGTGGATCCCGAGGAAGGCTAGGGAGGAGCTGGCAGCGTACTGCATTGCGAGCTCCGCGCCAAAGAGCAAGAGAATCAGCAACACGCATACACAATTCAGTTCGAATTGAGATGTTGAGAGGAAAAGGGGGCTACGGGGATACTCATCACGGGTCAAGTACCTTGTAGAATTTGACCAGAGCTACGAAGTACATCCCCGTCCGCGCCCCTCCAAGCGCTGAGCACTGAGCAGGCTCTCAGTGTCGCTTGGAAACGTGCTCATCTTGGGGCCAGATACTGCGGGGACAGGGGCATGGCGAGAATGCCGGCCGTTCTCTCTCTCTCCCCCTCGCCCACCCGCCTGTTTCTCGGTAATAGGCCTCAGAGGACCTGGGTTTCGCAGGGTGGTTCAACTTGGCAGAAACATTTGGGAAAGTTGGCATACATGGACGATCAGTGATACACAACCAAGATAATCGAGGGAAAAATTGAGGGAGCGGAGAGTCTATTTAGGAAAGATCCTCCTCGACAATTTCGCGCCGATCGAGATCAAAATCGTGGCGGGCATGTTCGGAGAGGTAGGCGGAGGCGTAGGCGGGTGCCAGCATTGAGAAAATTAGATTCAACCCTTGTACGAAGTAGCAAAGTTGTGCAGCGCGGCCAAGCGATACCCCCATTTTCCTCTCGTCCCCCATCCGTCTCAGCTCTCGAATTGCGAGTGAGTGGAAGTGCCGGGGCCGGGGGAGCATGAGGAGCACACTGTACCTCTGAATTCCGAATGCTGATGCAGGAGGGCACAGGGCGGGCAAGCAAGTCGGGTTTCCACCAGCTCATCCTCTGAATACCACCTTTCTTGTGGAAGGAATGGCTATTTCAGGAGGCAAGGGACCGATGTGACAGATACACGACCACTTCAATTTCGTCCAATCTCGTGTCCAGACTCCTGGAAGCGATTTCCGTCCCTCCATCACCATCCACCATCCCGGGGCTGCGGGCTGTGTTGTGATACCACCGCTCGCCGCATCAACGGCGACGGTGGGTTCAAAGGAACAAAGGAAAGGGACGAAGCGCCACTTGAGTGGCAGTCAAGATATGTACACAGTGTCGAACTCGAACCGCCCACTCCGCTGCCTTTCCGGCGTCGTGCCTGTCCTCGTTGTTTGTTGGAGAGGCAAAGCACGGAAAGCTGCGCCAACCCTACTCTGCATACACCCAGCCCTGGAGCGGAATGATTGAGGATGAGCCAGAAGAAGAAAAAATGCCAGGGAAAAAGGGAAAAAAGAAAGAAAAAGAAAGGAAACCCACGACATGGGTTCACTTGCTTGGGGGTGGTCTTGTCGCTTTCGGCAGGGAGGTTCTCCAGGAACCACGTTACAATTCACTGTCGCACTCCGCGACCCAAACCAAATGTCTAGGGCACCAGGTTCCACTTCCACTACTCGTGCCTTGCCACGGCCAAAGATCGGCCTCTCAACCAAGAAATTGCACGGGAGAGGCGTAGGAGGCTCGAATGAAGAAGGGGAGGGGGGGGCGGAAGGTGATATCACAGTGACAAAGAGCGGTAATATCGCCTCACCCAAAAAGAAAATTCAGAGGGGGCATTCGGCGAGTTAGAAAAAGTGCGTACCTACCCCCAATGACAGCGATGAGGCATATTTTTTTCTTCTCTGGGCCACGATGGCTCTGGTTCTGGCTCTTTCTCGGGCCTGCGGTTTGGTTCAGAATTCTGGCCGACGCTAAGAAGTCTAACTCGCCCGCCAAGGGGTGAGGTTCCTTGCTTGGAGACGAAGGAACTGATTCATTGCAATATGCCCCCAGAAACTTTTCTCATCCTTCCTGTTTCCGGTGGGAGGATATGGTCCGTGGTGCAGACCAACAACTTACGTCCAAGTAGGGTTACGGCGGAACTAGGGGCCTAAGACCTGCCAGGTGCCGGGGTACGGACCACAAGTCGGATAGGCTAGGGTCCTTGTTACCCAACAGTCTGGTTGACACTGTCCTCCTTGTCGATCACTCACGCTGCTGGCTGGAGCGTAGCGAGGCCTGAGTGCTGAGTTTGCAAACGAGCAGCGACACTAGGTCCGAGGATGGTGGCGGATAAGCAACACGGGTGCCAAGGCCTGCAATAGCTCGCGAGTCCAAGAAAAGAGAGGGTGCATTCAAGCATACGAAGAAAATTCCTCCCTCCCAAAAGCGAAGGGGAGAAAAAAAGGGGATCGATTCGAGAGCGAAACCTGCCGCTTTCTCGGCAAAGGACCATGGCGACACACATCATCCACGTCCTCATGTGAATCAAGAGTTTCGGCGCTTTACTACCTCAAGGGGAGAGCGGACGAACTGCTGCAAGACAGAGAGAGGGTGCCAGAATAGCCCGCCCCGTCAGGTCTTGGAGAGCAGGAAGACGAGCAATCAGTCGACTCTGCTTTTCCGGGGAAGCAAACGACAAAGTGAGACGGCCAACAAAGTTTAACTCCCACTGCTTTTTTCGGCCGTCTAGTGTTGACTTGACACGCAACATGCGATATTACATGGTTGCACCTTTACTCGCACTAACCACTCCAACTTCCCACGGTCGAATCGCCGGGCGGGCTCCAGCCTGCCTTGGCCCTTTCTACCCTAGCGCCTCATGCTACTCGTGAACACACCCAAATTAGGCCCCACCCTACTGTCGGACAACTGGCGCACGCAGCTTGGGCTTTTGTCTGTCCACGACTGCTCCCCAATTGCGAACCTAACTGTGAAGCCGCCCCTCCAGGCTAAGAGGGCGGCCACGCACCAAGTGGGTAACGGGCGGGGACTGGTCTGAGGGCAAAAGCTTACGACAAGGCATGGGACCGAGGACGGGACCGACTCAAGCCCCTCTCCTAAACGGCTCAGGACAGCCTAGGACAGCCCAGGACTCACACTTGAGCCATCGGGCTTAGCAGTAGACATGAAAGCATCAGGAGACAATGACAGGCACATGTTTGAACTCCAAGCACTCGTCGGCGCCAGGGCAAGCAAACGCCCGTGTGTGATTGCGCGTAGAAGGTGCCGTTGCGCGCCCGCTACTTGCTCGTCTTCCACCACCAGATACCGACTCAGGTGAGACCGTAAGCGGTCCCGCGTTCTCCCGGCCTGAGGAAGCGCTACAACAGCGTGGGTTTTTCCTCGACATGGGCTCGATCAACTTAACCAGTAGTAGAGGATGGCCGTCGGGACCGGATAATCGCCCTCGCAGGGAGGGAAGGGGAAGAAGAGAAAAGCGAAAAAAGCCCCCTCCCCATATTAAAAATCGATGCTCGTTCCATCAACCTCTTTCGCTTACACTGGCAGGATCGTAGCTCCATGAGTTGGTC